GTTGGAAAATAATTAAAAATAAAATTTCATAATTGGTGGATTAGAATTTATGGTCCTCATTCAGCAAAACTAAATGGTCCTGATTTTTTCGGGATTTCGGGATTTTTTAAAATTAATATTTATAAAACTGATTTTAACACTAAAGAACAATTATTACAAAACATTCATCAAGCATTTAGAAAACTAAAGCCAACACATATACTCTGTAAGATATACATAACTACGTAAAATCTGTAAGAAAAAGTCTGTCAATTATTATTATAACAAAACACTTAATATATGTAATATCTATATATATATATATATATATATATATATATATATATATATATATATATATATATATATATATATATATATATAACACTTAAGTGACTTTAATGTGATGTCTAATAAACAATTATTTTGTACAGTAGCTTACAACTGAAAATAGATATATAACATATATCATTTAAAAATATAAATGGAAAATGTCAAAATATACAAAATTTCTCATATATAAATAAAAAACATAAGTTGGTTTTCCTTGGTGAGTGGTACAAAGGAAAGCAATGAATAGGGATGGCTGGAGATAATTTCTTCAGGAGGCTAGAACCCACACATGGTTGTAAAGCCAGAATGATGATGAATATGTTTGATTCAGTTATTTTTAAGCAGCTTCAGCAGTTCTGCTTGAATCTCTTTGGGACCTGGAGCTTTCCTGTCTTTTAGCTGTTTTATAGCTAAAACATACTCTTCTTTCTCTGTTATAGTTAATATTGCCTCAGGTGTCAAGAACAGCATCCACTCTATTAGTGTCATCAAAGATATTATGTACACCTCCCGTCATATAAAACTGGTACACTTTTTTTTCCCAATGTAAACCTGTGTTCAGACTGGACACAATGGTTCGTGAATCAATTCGTTGTTGCCATCACAGACAACGGAATTTCAGTAAATTTAAATAAAACGTAAAACGTAAAAAATAGCAATAAAAAATGTATAAAGTTTTTAGATAGGTATTATTTTTATTATTAACAACAACAAACCGTATCTAATAATTTAATAACCAGAAAGAGCATTGAGTTAATGTCCAAAATGTTGAACGATATTTAAACTTAGGGTATTGGATCAGGGAACATTGGAATGCATCTACTGTAATTTTATACTTTAGTTACTTACAGAACACAAACTGTTAACTGTATGTTATGTCAATAAGTTTAGTAACAGGCAAACTACCTAAATTAATTTATTATTTATTACATGAACGATAAACGTGAAAAACTAACATTATACTGTATCCTATGTAGATTATAAACTATAAAATGTCCGGAGCGAAAAACGCTTTTCAAAACGTGACAGTATTACACATTATCCTCTTATAATTGTAAAAAATCCTTTTATAACTGAAAAATGTTGGTTTAGTATCTACAGATATTATCAGTGTGTGAAAACTTTCCGAACATAACCTAACAATTAAACAAAAAATATTGCTTGCCATCAGTCAGATTTGACAAGTTTGTCAAAGTGAATTTTTAAAGATTCCACGTCAGTTTGATAAAACGAGAATAATTTCAAAAATAGAAGATGGTTGGTCTATTCGACAACTGGCTCAAGAGTTAAATAGAAGCAAAACCACAATCCACAACATTAAAAAAAGATGGGAAAACGAGCAGACTTTGGATAGAAGGAAAGGGAGTGGGAGACCAGCTATTACTACAGCCCAACAAGATGAAACATTAACTAATTATTTGAGAGCGTATCCCTTCAAAATTTGTGCAGCCGCCCGAAAATACAAATTTATCGAGGAACATAAACAAAGTAGACTCCTATTTGCTTTAAATTACGTTTTAAATGATCCAGTCAATTTTTGGGACCGTGTAATTTTTACTGATGAAAAAGTATTCCAGTCTCATTATGATGGCCATATTAGGGTTTATAGACCGCCTCGAAATAGGTTTAACAAAAACTATATTTCATCAAGTGATAAGTCACTAAATTTAATTAACTCAGTTTCCAGAAGATTACAAGAAGTGATTAATAATAATGGAGCTATGACAAAATATTAACTTTTCGAATTGTAATACATATATTTAAATCCCATACTTGTTCACTGTAAAATTTATTCATTTTTTATTAATTTCAAATTAAATTTTAATTTTTTCCAGTGGGTTTTATTTACTGTAGCATTCCACAACTCAATACAGTTTTGTGCTAAACTTTACGAGAAAACAGTCATCTCTCGATTTGAAATTAAACATAAATTTAAAGTCATGTCTAGATTTATTATCTATCATTTTTGAATTGAAATATTTTCATAAATTATAATAAAACACGAATCAATGTATGGGTACTGAGATAATGGAAAATTTCAAAATTAATAGAAAATTTTAAGATTTATATTTAAATAAATGCATAAATATAAATGTGACTGACTGATCGAGAATGCTCTATATTGTTTTAGTTTTTAGTATACTAAAAACTTGCGACCTGTCACACAGCCCTGCTTTTAGCTGGTTTGATATAATATTTTCGTAGAACTGGCAATGTTGCCTTCGAAATTAGAATGATACATGTGACAAGCTCAACTTACACAACTTGAAAAACACGATTTTCGGTTATAAGAGTTGTACCAGTTTTTTATGACGGGAATGGTACATATTGTTTCCAATTTTTTATTTTTGTTTGTTTATCTACAATCATCATCAGTTAAGCATGCAACTGTTTTATGACTACAATCCAGCTGCTTCTTTTCTCTTGTTATGGAGATTAAAAGTGTGGTGGTTTCTCTGTAGTGTTGCAATTTCACCACACTGCGCTTCCATACGTTTATTTTTTACAGTTCATAATGCATTTCTTATCTTTCTGTCACTTTCGATGTATTTTTCTCTATTTTTATCTTTTGCTGATCTTTGCCCATCCATCATGGTTACAATGACCATTGACCACCTATTTCGTAAGTTGCTAGATGGTTCCAAATTCTGAAATGGGTCTTACGAAAATGACAAATAAGCTAATTGACTGCAGTACAAGAGGTTTATAAAACACTCCCTCCATAGAAATAAATTATTGGAGGCTTTTATTTTATACTTTTGCATGGTTTATTTTAGATGTTATTTGTGTTTACTTATCAGTATTCATACATATTTTTATTACAAATAAGTATTAGAACCTTAAAATTAAAAAAAAAGAAACACAATTTTTTAATATAAAAATTATTTTCAATATTATTACTGCAATACAGTAAAATTTTGTGTAAACTTTGTTTTGAGGTACCAACCTCTTCACACTTTTCTTTTAAGAGATTTCTGATGTTTTTTCTTGGTTATGAATCTCAAGACCTAGTTGGAAGTGGGATTTCAGTGTTCTTGATTTGCTGTTGGAAATATCATATTTGTAATTCCTCATTGTACAGTTGATTTATGTCGGGTATGTCATAAATGAAAATTTCCAGATGACATCACATTCTATTGTTCAGAACAGAAAAATTAAAGCTCATTTTAGAAATACACTATATTAAGAATATTTTTATTAATTTGATTATGTTTAAACTGTTAAAAAAACATCAATAGTGTTTAAATAATCCACCACAATGAGCTCTTTAAAATGCCAGAACTTTATAAAGCTAGTTTAATTTGGCAACTATCATATAACAAATGAATTTGTTAGGCTACTGCTGAAATTAATGTTTTTGGAATTTGAAGCTTCAATATTTTCAGCTGTATATTTTAATGATTGTCCACTTATTACAACTCTGCCAATATATCTGAAAAACTGCACATTTGCAGTATTTATATATTGCACATATTATTTCGAAACTTCAGTCAAACACTAGTTCAGAATCTTTTTGAGAAACCAATCATACATTCTGTAACTGAATATTACTATAAGCTATATTTTACTATATTTTTTTCTATAAGTTCTATGGATGCAGTACAGACCAAGTGATAGTTTTGAAGACAGAATTATATTTTTCCATTAGAAGTTAACCTATAGAGTAACATTGGGATTAGATAAACTGCTACTGTTCTAGTAAAATTACTGATAGGGTTTTTGAAGTCACTTCTACATTTTGTTATATTTACTAATTACTCTAAGCCCAACTTTTTATTTTCACTGTGTCAAGCAAAACAAAAATCCATTTCAATATTGTTTCCAAAAAATCACAGACTAGCCAGTCTCTAGTAAAGAATAAACCAGTTTTAAACTAACAAAAACCTTCTAATTGTAGTTTTTATAATAAAAGATACTGTCCTTGTATAAAACCATATCTGCTTTATATAAACAAATGTAGGTATTTTAAATACTAAAGCCCTTGGCCTGACTTTAATTTCTTTTTATAAACTAGATCATAATAATCGATAGTTATTTGAATTTCAGTAAAAATAATCCTGATCTGATGTTTATAAATATAATGACAACCAAACTGTACACAATGAAAAGCTGTTTAAAAGTTCATCAGCATGTCTTTCAAAAGTCATAACGATATAATATGACTACCTTGGTTTGAAAATGAGAGCTAGAGCTTCGCAATATATAAATGTAAATCAAATTTGAAGATAACCTTCAAAACACTAGAATACTCACCAAATATTGCATAAGTAGACTGCTCTGCTACAATAAATGGCATATTCAAGCATGTCCTAACAGTCCGTTTCAAAAATATAAATAGATGTCACGTTATTTGCACAAAAAAAAATCACTTAAAATCAGTTTATTAATATTTAAATAACAATTTTATAAACTGCCACAGAAAAATCTGCTAGAGCCCACTCGCCCAACTTTCAACTACTTTCCAAATATTGACAGCAGATGGTAGCATCTGTCAATATGTCTATCACAGAGACACATATCGATGTCAATTGTCATTTAAAAAGCATTAAGAACTTTTTCTTTGCTGTGCGTTGTCACAGGTGGCTGTGGCGGTGTGCATGGTTCAGTTGGTTGTATAGCGACAAACCCATGACCATTGAAAGGCAGGCAACTCTTGTCTAAATGTGTTAGGAAGAAGTAGACTTGTCAAAGTCAAAAAATATGGTTATTTTGCGAAGTTACAAAGTTTTGTGGATGCTTTTAACCAGAATATAAATATTGTCTTAGTTTCATTAGAATTTTTTATTCCAAACTTGCGAACAACTTTAACAATCATATGTGATAAGTAAGATCATGGGTGGCAAGCATAAAGTGGCAAATAGAACAAAAAACAATGCGAGGGTAACAAATTTAAATGCCATATTTCCTTAAATATATTTACATTTCCTTTAATTGCAGCCATCTAATAGTGGAAGAAGTGCAGAACTTCTGGGTACATCTATACCACAGTTTGCGGGATTTTCAGGAATAAAAGATACTCCTTTTGGATTTTCCTGCACTACTGATGAGATAGACACATCCTTGGACCCAAATACTCAAGTGATATTCAAAAAAATTTCAAAAAAAGATTCTACTACAAAAATTAAGGTTAATATGCTGTTATAGAATAGCGATTTTTGACATAAATTCACTACTCTGGATCAATTCCTTTCTAATCATCATATATTTACTCTAAGCAGGTTTAAAAACTGCATGAAAAATAGATAATCAAAATATGTCAATTAAATGAGAAGTAAAAGATTAAAATAATATCTGACACAAAAAGATTTGATTCCTAAGAATTGTTAATATTTAATAAAAGTCATAATGTCATCTGACAACATTGAATAGTCTGTTTAAATTTTAATAGTAATTCTCATTTTTAAATAATTTCATATAAATACAATTATTATTTTTAAACATATTATTTACCTTATATTAATTAAATTTACTATCAAATGATATTTATTTTATTATTAATATTTGGTCTGAATTTGACAGGTTTGTCATAACCATAAGTAAACAACTTATGCTTTGTTAATATGTTAACAGGTGGCTTTAGGAGCAAATACAATAATTTGTTGAATTTATTTAAAAAATAAATAATAAAACTTCTTTATTTAATTTTAAATATAGCACCATCAAGACTATCATAACTCAAAAAGTTGCTTTTTACAGAATCAACAATTTAATTTTGTTCTAAAATATAATTTTCAATAACTCTTTTAAAAATAAAGTTATTGAAGTAATTCTTTTTTGTGAGTTTCTAATAGTTTTTACTTTTCATATTACTATATACAAAATATAAATTAAAACTTTGTAAATAATTATTTTCATACATCAATTTGTGATAGTTTTGCATGGGTAAAATTTAATCATTTGAAATGCAGTTTTGACATAATATATACATTACAATATGTTAACAACACAATAATTTTAGTACACTTTAATAATGTTAAACAAAATAATAAATACATTGTATTTTCATTCCGTATTGACATGGTCCTCCATCACTTTAGTAGACTTTGCTTTCATGTCCATGTAAAATTTATGATGTTCTTTCTTCATAACATCATTTACTTCTTCATATTCGTTTGTTCTGCTGATGTACTTTGTAAGTCAGTTATTACATTTTTTTGAGTACTGCTGTCATCATTTTCTAATTGTGGATATTGATCTGAATTTTCGTTTTCAGTATTGGCGTATCAAAGTCTTCAGGAATATTTACCCAGTTTTGATCATCGCTATTGTCATTTTTATTCTGAGATATATCAATATTATTCTGTGCATTGTCTAAAGTAGTATATATTTTAGGGCTACCTGTATCACTAGCACCATAATTAAAGTCTTCATCAGGACTACATGACAGCAATACTGGTGTAACATGAGTCCTGTTCTCAGATTCAGTAATATATTTATTCATTTTTTCTTCCATATCCCTTAACTGCAACAAATAAGAACTGAAGTAAATATCAACTATTATCAATAATTATCATTCAAAAATTAAAGGCATATGTTATATGTATTGCATAAAATTATTGTAAAAATGTTAGTCATAGTAAACCATAAATGATTACACAACCTAAAATATTTTTCATGAAATAATAATGGTACAATTTATTACCACTGCAAATAATATATTTTTAAACATGAAGATGAATATTTTATGCCATCTCCAATTACATCTTTATATTTAATTTAATTCAATATGAATTTCATGCATAGCCAGCATAGCTACAATAATTTCTAAGGTAAACATAAACAAAACTTATATTCATGTATTTAAAAATGCTGACTAACAAGAAACACATAGCAATTATTTCTTTTTTGTTAAAATATTGTGAACTAAAAACAATTAGGATGTTTCCTAATATTCCATTAGTATAATGTGACATAGATGGATAACTGTAATAACATAACTTTACAATTTTATATTTGTCACAAATGGATTTACATATAAACCTAAAAATACCTAATATACTTACTTTTTGTGATTTTTTTTCTGAATTCTACTAATTTTCTACATCTTGTAGTCACTTTTGCACTCATTTTGGGTTGATTTCTGTGGTTTTAATAATAACAATAACAAATTAAAAGTAAAGAACAGAACAATCGAAAACTACACTCACACTATGTTGTGATAGATATTGAATGCAATACTATCATAGCTAAAATTTTGTGATAGTCTTCAAGACTAAGTCTTGCACTCATAAGTTATTTCATTTCGAATAAATTTAAAACTAAACTAACTCCAGAATAATGGCCTTATATCAAAATTTTGAGTTGTAATACTCTTGCATTATGTTAGACTAACCATTACCATTACAGATTCATCAAAAACCAAAAATGGCAATTTTTGAGTTGTGATAGTCTTGCATTGATGGTGCGATATATTATTTAAATTTTAAAAATGCAGAAAACAGTATTTTTTTAATATAACTTGTCATCTTTAAACATCTTATTTAGTTTATATTATTATAGGTAAATTTACTATCAAATGATTTTAGTTAATATCTTTAGTTAATTTGAGATCTGAAGAACAGACCCTACTAAAATAGAGCATGAAAGAGCACTTATGTAAGTTGCAAGAAGGGATAACTAAATACTTTCCCTCTGTCTTGAGTGCTAACTGTGAATGGTTGATTTCATTTGACGAGAACAACGTAAGCAAGGCAGAATTAACCTGTTCTGAAAAGGAACAACTTATTGAAGTGTATTCTGACACAGTTTTAAAATCAAAATTTAGAGAAGTAGCTCCGGATGTTTTGTGGATTCCAGTTAAGAATGAATACCCAGAATTAGCAAAGAAAGTAGTATCCCTTTTACTGCCGTTTTCGACCTCGTACTTATGTGAATCTGCATTTTCTGCTATGAAAAATATAACATCTAGAATTCGTCCTCAGATAGATATACTTTCCAAAAGTCATTAGGGTCAAATTTCACACTAATTTTATGTATTCTTTCTGTTTTGTTTTTTGCTTATTATGTTCTTACGAAATAAAAAATAAATTTTTAATATATTCATCTGTACTTACCTACCACTAGCAAAAATTTGTACATATAAGGGTGTCGCGAATCTGTAAGGAGTACATTAGTGCGTCGCTGAGTAAAAACAGTTGAGAACCACTGGTCTAGTCCATAGCATACTGATATCTTTTGAGAATGTTTCCACAGTTTTCAGCATCTGATCCAGGTGGTTTCGAATGGAAGCTATTGATTTCAAATCATCTATATACAGCAGATGATTAAGCTTTGCCACAATAGTATTGTTATTTTTGATGCTAAAACCTTAGTTCAGTAGCTGCAGTAATGGGTTTATCACTAAACAGAACCAAAGTGGACTCAAAGAGTCCCCTGAAAAGGCCCCAGTTAATTGGGATATCTTTAGTTTTGATGTTGGTTTTACCAGGTATTTGAAGGCGAATTTTAGTCTTCCACTCCGTCATTATATACTTTAAAAAGGTCACTATACTATCATTGACTTTAAATATTTTCCATATATCTGTAAGCCATTCATGCGGTACTGATCAAACGCCTTTTTTCAATGAAGGCAGTCAAAAGGTTCCTTTTTTTTTCTGGTGTATGCCTGATTAGAAATGACTGGGTCGATTATAAGTTGTTCAGGATTATTACTGTAGTGTTAACAGTTTTTCATTGTGTCTTCAGTCTGTCCAGCATTGTTGTTATGAGTAGCTGGTTTCGAAAGTTGGTTTCCTCAAAACTCATGACTTGGCTTGGGTAGGATCTATTTTTATTTTCTAAAGTGGAATTCAGTTTCCCATAGAAAGCCTTCTCTGCATGCTCAAAAAGTATATTGTCGCCTTTCCGGTTATTACTAACTTTGTATCTTCTTAGGCGACCTGAATAAACAAGAGAGTTTTTGTTTTAATGTATCCAGGCAGTGTTGAGCTCATCGAGCAAAAAGACAAAAGAGGGAATGTAAAGGTAGTGGGGCAAAAATATTGTTAGACAGGAAGTGCGATCTTTAGAGGCCACATTAAACAAGGAAAGAGAGTCTCTCTCCTTGTTTGCCATCAAAGTTAGTTGGGTTATGTTATTGTTTATCCCAAATGCCATATGAAATCTTATTTATATTGAAGTTTTTTAACAATTGTGTCGCATTTTAGACTATTACCGTTAATAATTAGTTAAAACGTTCTCGTCTAAGACACATTCTGAAAAATATTATATAGCCACTGTTAATAAGTGTCGGAAAATTTAAATTTGGCGTATTCGCATTTCCGGATATGTCCGCCATCAGAGGCCACTTTTTTGGTCTCCTTTTCATAAGGATTAGATTCCCTCTTTTGTCTTTTTGCTCAATGGTTGAGCTGTATTGTTTTCTGGATCATGTTGTAAGTGTCTTGGAGTGTTCAGAATTATTTCTTCAGCTTTTATAATTATTTTTCCTTTTTACTCCTCGGATATATTCTGTAATTTGTCCAATATCCCTTTGCAATAACTCAATTTTCCTCAACAGTCTTTTTTTCTAGGGTGCAATTTTGTTTTCAGTCCTTCTGATTTAGTAGCCCATCGTGTTCTGATCTTAATGCCCATTACATTAGTAATTACTGGTGCTGCACAGTAAATCTGCATATGCAAGTATTCTTATGTATGAGCTTCTACAATATAATTGGGTAGGACTTCAGTGTTCACTATTTGCAACAGCGCACCTAGTTCCTTACAAGAGTTTATTTTTGGTAGCAGTGGCATGCTAAGTGGGTTTTGTCCCATTGAACTCTTGTATGGCACCTGTCATTTCCGTTACCAGGCTGTCGTGTAACTCGTTTTTATCCTGCTGCATATTAACAGGTTGAGTTTCTTGCACGAGAGGCTCAGGAGTCTGCTCATTACGGATTTGATCTACAACTACTTCTAGGTTATCAATCTCCAGTTTGACTTTGCTTCTGATGGTATCGCATCTAGTATCTGAAATAAGATTATTTCTTATAATTACCCGGTATTGATTAGCTATTTTCTCTGTTCAGATACTTTTTCTCTGGAGTACCAGAATGTCTGGGGATTCCCTGCAAAATTCGGTATACAGATGTCGATAGCCGATCGGTTCTCGACCGAGGTTCGTCACCTTGTAATAGAAGCGCAAAATGTTTTCGTTTATAGACATAATCCATTTCATGCGCTGCCTCGGTAAATTTTCATTTTATTTAACACGAAAATTATTGGTGTTGGCCACATCTATAAGTTTGCCTTTTAGGTTTATTAACTAGTGTGAGATCAGGTCTATTATGTAATTATTATTTTATTATTGTAGGGACTACAAGAACTAGCAGCTTTGATTAAAGAGTCAGATCAAGATACTGTAAAGACATTATTGCCAGTGTGGCCAAGATTTTATAGTGTTCTTGTCACAGATACTGACAATAGAGTCAGAGAAGCAACACATAATGTGCACCATCAAATAATACTTAAAGTGAAAAGGAATATTGCTCCTTACTTAAAGCAATTAATGGCCCCTTGGTTTACTTCACAATATGATACATATGCACCTGCTGCCAGTGCTGCTTCACAATCTTTTAAGGTATGTTTAGTTTTTATTATAGTATGCATATTTTATCACTTTTTTTAAGAAATTTTTTTAAGAAATTTATTTTTTTAACAACGTGATTACCATTGGATAAAGAAGATATGGTAAGCTTTTGTATTAACCATATAGGAAGGTACTTAAATTATTATAGAAAATCAATAAAATATTAATTTTTAAATACTCATGTGATTAGTTGAATATTAAACAGCAACAAAATTGAAATCACCAGAGAAGGGAAGATGGATAAATATCATGCATGTATAAAACCATGCAGAATCGTTTTTATATTTGATAATTTTTTAAAATTCAGCTAATGGTATTATCTCGCAGGTCACCAATTCAAACTGGGCCCCGGTAAGGGCTACTGACGTCTGTGTACAAAAAAGGATTTTGACACCCTTTAAGGCATTTTTTTATCATGTTTTTTTATTTATTTATTTTTTTGAAGGTAATTAAGGTTGTTAGGTGCTTGAAATAAATAAAAAACTGAACTTTAGAAGTCATATTTATTTGTAGACTAAAATATCAAAATGAAACAACCAGAATAAAATCATAACAAAATAAATTTGTTATAAAATCAAAAGTAATAGCTAGGTAGAGTAGAAAAATAAATAGCAATATTTTCCGAGACTTTGCTGTTGCAAATTCATTAATTATATAGCTAAAATTTGTACCATAAAAAAATTCTTGTTAAATTGCTAATATTGCTAACCCAGACAATATGTCTTGAAGCATGGTCGATCTTAAATAATTTTTAATGATTTTTAACTTTGAAAAAGATCGCTCGCCAGAAGCTACAGATACAGGCAATGTCAAAAGAATTCTTAGTGAAATGCTTACGTTTTGTAGGGTGTAGATTAAATTGTTTTCAAAAAATATATATTGCAAAATACTTAAGGGATCAGTTCTATCATATAATGAAAACAACTTTTTTGCTTTAACAACTTACACTTTAATTTGTTAAACAAATCATTGGAGTCTATATCCTTATACTGATCTGTCAGTAGTTCTTCAAAAACAGAACAACGTTTTAAAAGATGGCTTTCACTTAATTTGTATATATTGCTAAAAAATCTGAAAATATTATCATACTTATTTAATAAATAAAATCGGTTTTTTAGTGAGCTTAAAGTTTTATCTATAATTAAAAAAAAAATAATTTTAAAGGCGGTTTTTGCATCATGAGGGGTCTCATCTCAGTCTTAATAGTTAAACAGTTTTGGTTTAAATTTCTTCCTGCCTGTTGGTAACGGTAGAAAGTCTTCTTCAATTTCACGAGAGTGCTACCATCTTTCGCTTGTACAAAAATTTCTTGAAATGATTGGTCAGATCTATATTGCTGGAAGTGTTCAATTAAATTATTTAGGTAGGTTTGGCATATTTTAATTTGCAACACTTTGCATTTGTTTGCTGACATTATTTATATGAAATAAAACGTCATGTCAAATAATGATTCCATAAATAAATTGAACATTTTGTACAGATGTTAAGAGGGAACTCGCTTTATGTCTTGCATCAATGTAAAAGGAATTATCTTCAGAAAACTTTTGCAAAACTTAATTAAATAAAGTTTATGGGGCTTTATTGAATTAATTCTGCTAGACCATCTTGTCTCAGTTATGAGACTTTAAACTTAACCAGGGAAGTTTTTTGTTTCAACATCCCACCTTTTTATGGATGACGAAAAGAAATTACAGTAAACTCCCTTTATAACGAGAACATAGCAGACTTTACCTCGTTATAAGCCGATCTCGTTATATCAAACAACAATAATACTGTGCATACATATGAATATGTAGTTTTCTTAAACATTAACTTCCTATAGTGAAGCCATTCGGAGCAATATAAGATGTTAAATATTGTTTGAATGGCGTATTTGAAAAAAAGTTGTTTACTTTTATTGTCAATGAAATACATTAAAACAAAAAAGAGGTGTTTACTTTTATTGTCAGTGATATACTTTAAATCGAACTCTATAGAATATACCAGGAACCAGATATCGTAAAGCACACCAAGATAGGATGTCTGAGGTGGGTAGGCCATGTAATGCGGATGGAGCAAACAGACCCAGCCAGAAAAACGCTCCTTGATAGACCTATTGGTCAAAGAAGAAGAGGAAGACCCAGAACAAGATTCCTAGATAACATAGACGAAGATATGAGAAATATGAAAATACGTGCTTGGCGGAGGAAGGCGATGGATAGGGACGACTGGAAGAGAATTCTTGGGGAGGCTAGGACCCACACAGGGTTGTAAAGCCAAAATGATGATGATGATGATGATATACTTTAAAACAAAAAATCTGTACTTACATGTTGTCTTGAGGAAAAAGCTTCCGATTCTTCCATGAGCGCCAACCGAAGCTACTCACGATTTATTGGAGCAGGTATTCTGTTTGTTACTCTTCGTTTGAGTTGGTCCCAAATATGTTCAATCGGGTTCAAATCTGGGCTTTGAGCAGGTCAATTCATTTTTGGAACACCGACGGTTTCCAGGTATTGCGTTACTATCTTGGCTACTTGTGGCCGCGCGTTGTCTTGCATGAAGATAAAGTTTTCGCCCACAAACCCAGCCAAACGCATTGTATGCTCGTCTAGAATTTAGGTAATGTATCGGTAAGAATTCGACGCTCCTCTATTAATAAACACGAGATCAGTACGGCGTTCCTATGAAATGCCTGCCAAATAGAGCCTTCTCCAAAAGCAACATGAGCTTGTCGAGCACAAGCAGCATATCATTCCCCACGTCTTCTGTACGTTCTGAGCCAAAAAGAACCATCCTGGACTCATCACTAAACAAAACATTTTTCCAATTTTCTATCATCCAATGCTTGTGGTCTCTAGCAAATTCAAGTCGGCGTTGTCAATATGCTGCTGTTAACAAAGGTCCTGTTGGTGGGCAGCGAGCCCTTAGATCAAATTCTCTCAACCTTCTTCTCACTGTAGAAGTGCTTAGTGTCCACCCGTGAGCATTTGAAAAACGGTTTTGGATTGCTCGTGATTGGATTGCTTTAGCCGTCGTGATTCTTCTCGCGCATGATCCTGGTCGTCGTTTGTGAGATCCAGTCTCTACGAATCGTTAGTATGTTTTTTGGACCATACAAAGACTGACTAAAAGCTGTCTGGCCACTTCTCATTGACTCATTCCATTATCAATCAAAGTAACAATTTGAACAGATCTATCAAAGCCCTCAGCCATAGTTTTAAATTTAAAAATTGCACAAGTTCACTCTTTGAACAACTGTTCACTAACGAAAGGTTTTTGAAAAACAGAACAGCCATATTACAAGAAAGACAACGTACAAACAACACGTGCATTCTCTGAAGTCGTAAAACTTATATCTATTTTGCGAACTTATGAACTTAATTATTGTTCTGTCGGCACCCAGTGGCGGTGCCTAAAAATGTTTCTGCATTCTGAGAGTTTATTTACAATAGTTTATTTACTGCTTTGCATCATTTTTCTCTGTTGCACTGTGGAAACGGGCTTATAATGCAGCGCTCAGTCTAGATATTATATGTCTCTGCTTTTACCCATGATTAACTGTTTTAATTTATTGTCAAAAGAATTCAGTAATGTTCATAAACATCAAACTTTGTTTTGAAAAACTTGTAATGGATTTATTCGTTGACGATAATACATTTCTTTTATTTTTTAGGATGCTTTTCCTCCAAATAAAATTCAAGAGGCAATTGTTTTTTGTCAAGAAGAAATTCTCAATTATCTAAGTGATAATTTACTAGTTCAAACTGCTCAGACATTAAGTAATCTAAAACATGTATCAGCAGAAGAAGCGGAAGCTAAATATGAACGAGTATTGATATCTTGTCTACAGGGTTATTGCTTATACTTGGAGAAAGTATCTGCTGAACAAATAAAAAATACATCTGAATTGAATAACAGCATTATTTCTAACGGTGAGCAGAAATTTTAATTTTTAAATATTTTTCCCAGCATACTTTAAACTTTATATTATCTATACTTCATCCAAATTATGCGAAGCTCTTCAACCACTTATACGACACTTTGGATTCAGAAATGAACTTAGTCCGAGGGAGGCCACCTGTAGCATGCAAACCTTCGTAATGAACTGTATAGATCAAATAAAGGTTCCATCGACTAAAAGAGAAATTATTGAATGTATAAAAAAACTTTTTTAACGAGGTCTGAATAAAAACTAATGGCGCAATGCTTATATAATTTCAATGTATAAAAGTAGAATAACTTTAAAACTATAGAGGAATCGCTGTCATTTTCACTATAAGACGTATTCTTGAATATTCAAAAATCTTACATATGATATCCGCACAAACCAACCAGAAGAACAATGGTTTTAGAGCCGGAAGATCAACAATTTATAGATAAACACATATAGCCTTGATAGACTTAAAAAAAGCCTATGATAATGTACCAATAATGGATTTATAGAGTAAAATGCAGAACATCGAAATAATACGGCCTTAGTTAAAATAGGAAATAATTTAAGTGAGAAATTCAATACTACGAAAGAGCTACGACAAGGGTATTGTCTATCACGTACCCTTTAAAAAATATATCTAGATCGATCTCTTCAAAAATTTCTTATATTCTTTGCTGTTGACCTGGTAGCGGAGTATATGGATCTTATAAGAAGCACAGAAGGGATGAAAACATGTTCGTAAGAGAAATAAAAGGAAGCTTGAGACTAAAATACTTGAAGAGCTGGAAACTATAAGTAATCAGAACGAGACAAGAATTCTTTATTGAAATATCAGTAGTGCAGAAAAGAATTTAAACCGTGAATCAATTTTTTTGCATTCAATTACATTCAAGAAAATCTACATTTAATCTGAAGAAAAAAGGATTTGCTGTGTACTGATGAAGATATGAGGAACCTTGACCTATTAAGAATGAAGTCGATCTACCGACCCCCCTCCAAATATGAACCAAGAAGAAGATACGAAAAATAGAAATTGGCACTATATGGCGAAACAGACACATTAATACTCAGATGAAGTCAAGAATTTATAAAGCCGTTGTAAGACCAATAATGACGTATGCCTAAGAAACAAAACCCGACACAGCCACAATACACAGGCTAGTGGAAACGGCAGAGAGGATAGTACTGAGAAGAATGACAGGAAATACGTTGACAGATTGAAAGAGAAGTGAAGATGGAAGAAAATGTAACGTACAGTGTATAAACGAATGGACACTAAATAGAAAAAAGAATGGAATAACCACATAAGCAGAATGGGGGAGACATGTGTGGTCAAAGTAGCAAGCGATAAATCAGATGATCCAAACCGCAGAAGTATAGCCGATGCACAAGCAGAATTGCATATAAAGAGATCAAAATCGACTTATATTGCGAGAGGAGGTTTACTCCTGAAGCACCTCACCACAAATGTCTGTCTTTCCTTCAGGAAATTACCAGCTCCCTTAAGAAATTACAAGTCAAAAGTCAAACTTCCTCTAATTTCTAAAATTATTAGCTAGCGAACAAAGCAACTTTCTATCACATTGAGATCTATCCGTTTAGCAAAATGTTCTAAAAAGAAAGAGTAGTTGTCTAATTGGACGCTTTAAAATATACTCCCCGCGGTGAAGGAGGGTTCAAGTTCTATAGGATTTCAATTCCTTAGTCGCTGATGGGAATTAGTCACGCTTTTTTAAGTTAGCGACAGTTTAAAAAGTGAAAATGCATAACTCAGTAGCATATCATTAGTATTTTGAAGGAAAATAAATTAAAAATCAAAAAATTAAAAGATTTCAAAAAAAACATCACAAAGAAAAAGTCACATTATGTATTCTGAAAAATTTAACACTAACAGAGTACTAAGATAGGACGATGCGCTGGTATGCCTGCTTGAGAAAGTTTTAGATAAGCAGAGGTACTATCCGTTGCAAGACAATTCGGATGGAATTACCCAGATTATTTTGTGGTTGATATCGGCTCAATCTCTTAATCTGGGGAATTCCATCCGAATTATCTTGCAACGGATAGTACAATATTTAATAAATCTAACCAGACATTGGCCAATACTCGTATACAGATGACATAGATCTTGTTACACGCCGACCCGTAACTCCAAGGAGATGTTTGCTGCACTCCCAAATGGACCAGATATTATAGGTCAACCAATGTAAAACAAAGCTCATAGTATCAGGCACAGACCACCAAATTAAAAACATGGAATCAAAACTATAACCTTAATACTCCATGGTTGTTTTCGAATTCAGATTAATATTAGAGAGAAAATACTCCGAAATATATTAGGCCCAATAAATGATAATGAAAAGTAGCATCGTCGATGTAATTTCAAACTATACAATACGCACAATGAAATAGTCGAAGCCAAAAATATAGTTCCTCCAATGAAAATTAGACGTCTACAATAGGCAGGACAGGACATCTGACTAGAGCAAATAAAAGCTACCCTGCAAGACGGACTCTATTGGTAAAACTCGATGGATCTAGACGACGGGGTGCACCAAGGTTGAGATGGACGGGTGGTGTGGATGCCAGAGAAATCGGCAATCTGGTACTGCAAAGAACTTGATCATGATGGATATCAAACTTCTCAGTTCATAAATGTATCTAGTGTTACACTTCTGATGCGTAGACTCTACCATGTACATCATTTTCTAAAGAACTTAATTTTAAACATCAACATCGATAGCGTAAAAGATATAAAACAATAATGAAATGGTTTTCTTGTATGACTATCAAAGTAAATGACGCCTTTGTAAACCACTAGATCAATGTAGCATTGCGTGGGAACAGCTACTGTGCTAGTCCCGTTTTTAAGTTATTCTATTGATTGCCTCTAACTGAGTCACAAAATTGCAACGTTAGGTTGATCATATGACAAGCTTTGAATTCAAAGAACTCAAAAGCATTTGGTTTCCAAATCCAAAGCAGTCCCACTGACATTGCAGCAATATTTTTCTGTATTCACTGCTATTTTTTTTTTATTTTTAGCAAAATTTTGGAAATTCTCTAAAAGTAAAGTAGCTCATGTAAGGGCTTCCTTTTTTAGTATTATATCAGTAATCTGCCAAAAAGCTACTTTTCTGTTTGATGATAAAGGATCTCAAGTTGTCAACAGTGTCTTTGTTGGTCTTGATGAATATGATCCAACAGTTTTACCTAAAATTTGGGAAGCCACACTTTTGACAATGTCCAACATAAAGGTAAGTTATTATCAAAGAATATAGACGCTTATAGAAGAATCTTTCACTGTTATGTTTGAAAGTTTGCAAAAGATGATCGCACGTTATGAAAAAGAATGAGAGGGTGGATCGAGAAGGGAGCGGTCATGTCAACGCTATTATTGCTTTTAAAATATGAAAGAGTGGGGCAACAAATGCAACAGATATTTTTATGTATAATGCCAGAGAACTACGAACACATAATGCCGCGTGGCCGTAGAATAGGATTAAATTTTTGCGTTTTATAATATTTTTTAAAGAAAATAATAATATTTTAACTTTTAATAAATGAATCATATTAGAAAAAATATTATGATTCGAATTTTTAATTTAAATAGGTACAAATCTACAAATAATATTATAGTTAATAAGAAGAACTCTCTTTTTATTAACTATAAAATTAATTCAACCAATAAAATCATCAATCACCGGAATTAAATATTTCCAAATTTTCTAAATTTAATAATTTCTTCTTTGTTTTTAATATAAAATAACATAAAATGTAAAACACAACACTGTTTTTTCTGCAGAATAATGGAAACATGTCTAAAAAGTTTAATGAAAAGTCCTGAGAAAATCAAATTTTTGGTTGAATTAATCCAAAAATTAACGAAATATTTTAAAAAAATATTTCGTTAATTTTTGGGCAGAAAAACAGTATAATAAAAATTTATGTGACGGTTTTTCGTTGTGTTGGAACAAACCTATTTTTAATTCAAAGTTATAAAATGTAAAAAATAAATGCTTTGAATATTGTAAATATCATACCTTTTTAAATTTCAAAATTCAAAATTTAACAATTTAATATATTGAAAATAAAGATTTTATTGTGAAAAAAAAAACAAAAAAAGCATGGGATTTTTTTTAATCGTAGATGCAAAGTTAAATAAATAGCTCCTCCGTTCGTACTCCTTTCCCACTTTCCCCTAATTACATCTTTTATGAGATAGTTTAAGCCGACTGCCAGATGTGTTTTAAAGTGTAAACCCTAACCAAATCGTCCATTTGAACTGTTCTTCTATAAGCGTCTATATTCTTTGTTATTATTGTCCTAAACATTTTGTAATCACCTGCAATTTAGCTTTCTGAATTTCGAGTTTCTCATGCCCTAACCTAACCTAACCTAACATCCTTTTTACATTGACCATATTTTTTAATCAATCCAGTTTATTTTTTTCGCCAATATGTTTAACTTTTTTTTTAATTCATTATATAGTTTACAGTATCATACAAATTGACTCAAATATTCCAGTTACAAATTGTTCTCCACTGATGCCTCCAAAAATTGCAACGGAGTAGCAGCTGCTACTGTAATTTCAGAAAACGTAATTTCTGCCACTACATTAACTGACCGCTGTAGTATTTATACCGCAGAGCTCCAAATCATTGTAAAACCACAAATGAAAATCAAATACTAATATTATCAGATTCATTAAGTTCTTTACACACATCAATCTATTCCTAATTAAAGACGCGTTGCAACAGCTCCAATTTTCTGGGAAAACCATATCATTTATGTAACCTCTTTACCTTTAAAACGCATCTTGATGTTTGTTGATAGGGCACTTTGATCAATAGATATCGAATTTTTACCAAAAAGAGGTTAATCTTTGTAATTTTTACCGTTGAGCTGATACAAATTTTATTGAACATTGATTTCTCGCACGTAACTGACATTCAAAATCGACGGTCTTTTGAGTTTTTGGGTTTGTACCCCCCTACGGGGGGGGGGGTTAGCGGGAAGCCCGGTGATAAAAGTGGTCCCAAAAAATTTTTTGGGGTCCCAAAATTAATATTCTCAGCAAAATTCAGCTTGTTCGTATGATTTTTAGAGGTTGAGTTGCATTTTCGTCTCTGACGACTGGAGTATAGGTATAAACAGTATTAAGAGAAGAGTATTATATATATTAACATAAAAGTATAAACGAAAATTCGAAAAAATCATATTTTTCACCATAAATTGTTAATACATAATTTTAAAAAATACGCCGAAATTTCTGCAGAAAACGTTTAGGCTGTTTTACTCGAGGTATACATTAACGGAAACGCTGGTCAAATTCTTGGCTATTGCGAAATTTCGAGAAATAATTATTTTCTTGGACTATTAGTCAAGTATTTTTTGTTAACCTATGTGTACCATATACAACCACACTTTTGCTTTTAAGAAACCATGTAGCTGTTAAATAACATGCATAAAAAAATTAATTAAATGTTCCTAACATAAAACATCATATTTTTATGTCAAAACAGTGTAATGGATTGCCATACAATTTTTCAAATTCGGGTCCTGTGGCCTAAAGTGTTAAGATATTTAATGCCTTAGATAACTCGGGGCCGATATACGAACGTGGGTATATAGTGCACCATAACAAACATAAAATTTAAAATTCTCTATTTTTAGGATTGGTGGACATACATAAATATAGAAAAATTATTTTTACCAAAATTGTGGAAGATTCTCAAACAAGGAGGTCAAGGAAATGCCTCAATTATATACCCAAGTTTGTTGCCTTTAATATCTCATCTACCTCAGACAATTGATGATAATGCACCCCAATTTTACAACTTATTTTTTGAAAATCTATGGTTAGGGTAAGTGTAACAACTCTAAGTTATCTTTTTTATTTTAATAAATCACGCGTTATTATCAGATTGGAAATCATTGAAAATGATATTGTTGAAACAATAAAGTTAAAATATTCAAAAGTTTTACAGACTGCATAAAGTTTTGGGTTTTGCATTGCAAATTGATTTTGCAGCTTCAGACTACTCACAATCAGTATAGTTTAATGTTTTTATTATGTACAATCTTCTAACGCTTATTTTAATTCATTTACACTGACACTAAAACATAATTAATTTATAATATTTATATAATACTTGACAATACAAACTTATAGTTTTGACTAACTCTATGATTTCAATTATTCAGTATTTATATTTTCTCGTTCACTCCCAGATGTCGGTGTAAATCCGTGGCTTTACCGTTGGGATGGGAATCAGTAGCGTAGCGAACGTAATAATAGTGTCATCTACATGTCTCAAGTAGAATATTTTAATACAGTTGAAAGAAATACTACAACAAAATTGTCGTGTGCACTGATTCGTTATTAGTATTTATGCATTCCAAAACTTTAACAATTAACAGCAATATATTTAAATTAAAAAATTTTCAACAGTTACTAAAATTATCAGCTTTATCATATTATGTTAATTTCGTATGGGTTAAGGGATATTCAGACATATTGGGTAATTCTATTACGGATTCAATAGCTAAAAGTCCACTAAAGCACTCACAAATATTGATTGAAGAATTTAACACGACATGTGATCTTGCATATGTAAATTAAATGGGTTAGACGTTGGATTCAGTGTGGTGAAACTGCAGGCACTAATTTGTTTTAAATTACAATCAACAGGGACAGCGAACCAATTTTACAACGTTGTTATATTAAGTAGAAATGCAGTATCGCCATCCTAAGATTAAAAGTAGATCATGAATATTTTCCGAGGCATCTACATAAAATCGGACTTCTCCTAATAGACAGATATAAGTGTGGAATATTCTCCCTTATATGTCAATAGAAGTATGTGGCTTCTTCAAGAATTGCTGAAATTAGGTTTACAGAAGTCAAATGTACTATTAAGAAGTGAAGACAAAATTTTTTAAATTGATTATGGTATTTCTGCAAAAAATTAAATTAAAGGTGTGAATAAAAATTTTTATTGTTTGAATGGATATTTTCTTTGTATGTTTACCTATTTGTTGTCCACCTATCTAACCGTGGTTTATGTCTTGTGTGTTATAATGAAGTCGCCCTGATGAACCCCTCATCGTGAAAAGTGTCCTCCCGGTGCAATCCTGAATGAATGAATACTAATATTTGTATGTAATTACGTGGCTAAAAGTTCTAAACTAAGGCTAGAATACAAAAAAAGAAAAGAAATACCACTAATGCCATTCTCCAATACTTTACTGCGTATATCCTTAATGTAAATATTAAATAGTAGAGGACCAAAAATACAAGTTGGACGTACTCCCGCAAAATACTCAAAGCGTGTATAAATATTCTTTAGAGTAACGTTCTGTTTGGAATTGAAAATCAAATTAATGTAATTACTATTTAAATGGGAATAAGCCACAGTTAACATGAAAATGGGTTTCAGATAATCTGTTAAAAATCGAACAAGGATCTGTTATTATTATGGATAACGCTAAGGTTAAAGTAAGTTTATTGACGTTTCAATTTCCACTTCGGAAATCAAAATACAAATATTAGTAAATTAAACAAATTTTAAAAATCCACAAGGAATCTACGTTCCTGTAGTTGGCTGTATACCATATATTAAAAAATTTATTAAAAATCCTTTGTAAAAGGTATATATTTAGACCCAAACGGGCTAAGTTAAAAAGACAAAACGTTTTCGGAATCCATATTCCATCATCAGTGTCTAAGAGTACATGAATGTAGCCACTAAATACATGGGTAAAAACCCGTTAACAAATAATTAATTACATTTAGTTTATAAATTTTCTTATAATGGTTTAGGATGTTAAAGTTACCGTTGGATTAGGTAACATGGCGACATATGACTCCACGTTGAAGTTGCTAGTCTTGAGACAGTCTTCGTAGACACACTTTTTCAAGACTAGCAATTTCAACGTGGAGTCATTTGTCGCCATGTTACCTAATCCAACGGTAACTTTAACATCCTAAACCATTATAAGAAAATTTATAAACTAAATGTAATTAATTATTTTTTAACGGGTTTTTACCCATGTATTTAGTGGCTACATTCATGTACTCTTAGACACTCATGATGGAATATGGATTCCGAAAACGTTTTGTATTTTTAACTTAGCCCGTTTGGGTCTAAATATATACCTTTTACAAAGGATTTTTAATAAATTTTTTAAACAAATTTTGTTTTTTTGTTACTTGGTGAAAAATTCTTCTTAATAATTTAATTTTATCTGACTAATTTATATTGACAATTCAGACATACACTATACATTTTAATATGATATTGCCAATATTGTTGAGTTGCGTTCCTGGGACGACTTTACTTGTAAGATAGTTCATTCGATTACATGAAATCAACTTTAACTTAAGAATATCAGAAAAATCATAGCATGTAATTCGTCTTTAAAAACCTCCTCTTTTAGTATGGGTAACCAGATCCTACTACATTCTGCCGAGGAATTTGCGACACAAATGATGTATTCTCAATATGGCCTCATGGATCAGAGTTTTTGCACACATTCCTGAATGATATAAACGATAAAGAAGAGACAATAACATTTACCATGGAAAAGGAATATAATAACACACTTCCTGGATGTTTTAATCTTTAAGAACGATACTGGATATGAGACTCAGTTGTATAGAAAACCAACACATACCAAAATGTATTTACATTTCAAATCAAATCAGAATATTAATATTAAAAAGGGAATCATTAAATCCTTATACGATAGAGCCAAAATTACTTGTTCTAACGAAAATTCATTCTTGGAGGAAAAACATTTGTTGACATCTTTTCTATTAAAAATGATTATTTTGTATCGTTTATAAATAAGGAATTTTTAACAATCGACCGAATAGAACAGAACAACTTGAACGAGATCCTACAGCATACACAAGGAATAATACGAGGAAAATAAGAATACCATACATAAAAGGATTATCAGAAAAATTTAAAATGATAGGAAATAAATTCAACATTTTAACAACATTCAAAACAACAAACACATTGAGATCTATTTTGGCTAAAACCAAACCTAACAATGTACAAGAAAGGACAAAGAATTGCATTTATAAAATACCTTGTGAATTCGATCAGTTTTATTTAGGTGGAGCATCAAGGCCATTAAATATTAGAATAAGTGAACATAAATCTTATATTAAAAATAGAGAATTTGATAGATCTCAAATATGTAAACACGCATGGGATAATGAACATAGGGTTCAATGGAGTTATTCAAATATAGTCCTAAAAGAAACGGATGGTAAAAAGAGAAAAATCAAAGAAGCAGCTCTAATTATGCTAAATGAGACCAATTGTGTCGCAAATTATAGGCAGAATGTAGTAGGATCTGGTTACCCATATTAAAAGAATAAGTTATTAAAAGGAAAATACCAGTATTAGTAAGTCAGTAACATATAGATAATACATCATTTATGTTTTTTAAATAATAAACATATAAAATCAGAATTTGGTAAACTTTGGAAAGTAAACTAAATGCACGACCAAATAATTACCATGTCGGGATAGTATTATGGGGGTTTTTCCTGGTTTTTCCCTCATAATTTACTATGGAATGACTAACAAGAGATTTTTACTGTCATCATGGCACGTGTTTGTCTTTTTAAAGACGAATTACATGCTATGATTTTTTCTGACGTATATTCTTAAGTTAAAGTTGATTTCATGTAATCGAATGAACTAATTAATCAACAATATTGGCAATATCATTTTAAAGTCGTCTACTTTAAAATGTATAATGTATATCTGAATTGTCAATATAAATGAGTCATATAAAATTAAATTATTAGAAAATTTTTTCACCAAGTAACAAAAAAACAAAATTTGTGTAATTTACTAATATTTGTATTTTGATCTCCGAAGTTTAAATTTAAACGTCCATAAACTTACTTTAACCTTTAACTGTGGTTTATTCCCATTTAAATAGTAATTACTTTAAAATGTCACAAGAAAATAGCTTCAGAAGAAAATCAAATTAATATATCTATCGTCGATAGTTGCTTTTCTTAATATCTCTAATAATTTAGCATTTTGGAAAGTGCCGATGAAAAAAGCTTTTTAACGGGGCGAGGAGAGACAAAGCCCAGAATGGTAAATAAAATTATGGCTATCTGTTCCGGATGTTGGGGATCAGCCTGGCTATCCTAACTTTGCTTGCAGCTATTCGAATTGTCCGGTTATAGATGTATTCAACCACGTTCTCAGGTTTTGAAGCCAAGATAATCTTTTCCCTGGTCCTCCCTTTCAAAATACATTGCTCTAGGGAATGAGTTGCAACAAGCCCTATCTCTGTTCATTTTTCATAAAATGTCCAATATATTCTAATTTACGCTCTTTGATTGTGTTAATAATCTCGCCCATTCTACGTAGGACCTCAACATTAGTCACGATCCACCCATGAAATTCTGAAGCGTCTATAACACCATATTTCGAAACTCGAACTTTCTTAAAGAAGCTTCTGAAAGTGTCCATATAATAACAGAAAATACATAGCATCTGATGATAGATATTTTGGTACCAAGTGGTGAATTGTCACTTCTTAAAAGAGAATTCATCTTTACCAACGCTGATCTTGCTTTTCCTTTGAGCTGTTTTATTTCAGTAGAGTGGTGCCTGATTAATGAGGGCTATTTGCCTTATTATCATGAACTAAGAGGCGTCCGAATGACCCCTAATGGACTGTATTAATTTCACCAACACTTGATTTTAATCACACCCCGTCCCGGGGTGGTAAGTTTGTCTAATCCTTTTTTAATATAAATTAGAATAAAAAGTTGAGTATAGTAAATACAGATTTTATATCTGAATAAACGCTAATACTAAAAGCATGGACCTTATACAAATATTAGTTTAGCACAATTTTGTACCGCAATATGAAGTCAGTAAACACTATATACCATGACGAAATAGTTCAGAATTCAAATAAAATGTCAAAATGTTTTTATATCTACCAAGTCCTGTCCTGAGCCATGTTAAAACTGGAATCACAGGTCTTCTTTGTTGTTGAACCACAGGTTGTAGCACTTATAAATACTAGAATTTATTCTTGTATGAATACGGCACTCTTAGCTAATTTTTACACTATTACGATACTTCAAATTATAATGTATGGTACTGGTACGAGTTACCATAGATGAACTATTACTATTCTCCAACTAATTGCGAACATATTTCATCGATAAAAAACCATGATTCTCATTTCGAGATAACTATTATAGCAACATTCGTACAACTCCCAACGGTGAAAGACACTTCTCGACTCTCAAATAGAATATTAGCGGAAACGACAACGTGTGTACGCCCCAAAAAAGGACAAGGTACTGGCGGTTTGTAGATCTAACCTGTTTCCGATGCATAATAATTCCCGTGATCTGTGACGTCGGTTGTTTACGTTTTAAATTCTAAGAACATGGCTTTCGAAAAATAGCCTCTGTTAATATTTAGGCAGATTCTCGGAACAGTGCCGTTGACTGTTTATGTTGGTACCAAGATATGTGTAGCTGTTTAAAGGCTATTGAAAAACTAAGGTAGATAAAAACCTAAAAGTGTCATTTTTAACAAATAACAAACGGCAAGTTTAAGAAAAATTAAAACCAAAAATACGATTTGTATTTTGATTTGTATTATATTTCCTTATTTTTAATAAAATTCTGAATTTTCCTTTTTAGGCTTAATCAAAAATCCACTGTTTCTAGTCGTTCAGAATCGGTAGCGGTAGCCACAGCTTTCGTGGAGTGCCTTCAATACGTGATTTTAAAAAGGCAATCTGATCTTCCTTTTTGTAAAACTCTAATAAAAGCGCATCTCGTTAATTCAGTAGAATGGTGTCTAATTGAAGACCAAGTAAATTATAAAACCTTATTTAATCAAATATCGACGTTAATACAGCATTGGAGCCGCAACTTAGACTCCGAGTACCTAAATGTTTGCCTAGAATTCTTTTTAGAAAATATTAGAGATGTTTTTAGAGATACTTTGTTTAATGTTAAGGAATTACCTGGACATAGCGTAGAAAAGATAGCTGATAAGCAGTTGGATCTACTACAGTCATTGAAAGTTACCCATAAATCAAAGAAACAGTTTAAGGTAAGTATGTCAAAATATTTTTGTCACAATTCAATTCTGTTTTGAAAAAAATTAATATCACTGCTTGTAGTCAGTCTATATCAGTAGATCTACATTAATCCTTTCAGGTCAAATTTATTTTTATCAATGAAACAAAATATTACTTAATTTTAGCTAATTTTGGTCTAGTGTACCTCTGAAATCACATTTTTTGCTAAATGTTTTATAATTTTTCACTTTACATGGGTTCTAAATAAATCAAATGCTCAATAAATAAATATTACAAGTTTTTATTGACGTTCCGATTTCTATATCCAAAGTCCGCTTTCAAAAATATAAATGATAGTTATATTTTTTTTTATTTGTTTATTATTATATATTTTTATAATCTTATATTATTTATTTTCTTTTTTTATTCTATCTTTAAAAACGGTCTCTGGAATAGAGATCGAAAGGTCAGTGTATTAAACACGTAAATAGATATATTGTGGTTTATTTCCAACCTTATCCCTAAAAATACAGAATGCCACAAACACAATATATAGTATAGGAAAACAAATATATGTCATTTGTATGTTTAAAAACGGTCTCTTTATAGAAATCCAAACGTCCGTAAATTAAACATTTGAATAAATATATTGTGGCTTATTCCCAACATTATTTCTAAAAATACAGAACGACAAGCAAAAAGCCATAGAAAATAAATATTACTATCATTTGTATAATTGAAAACGGTCTCTGGATATAGAGATCGAAACGTCAGTAAATAAACATATGAATTCATATTTTGTGTGGGTAATTCCCTACATTCCCCTAAAAATAGAGAATGCCACACACACACAAACAAAAAGTAATAAAAAGCAATTAATTTTACAAAAAGCTTACTGATGACACCTAGTAGCAGTAAGCTTTCGCAGAAGTTACTCTAAAACGTCTTTTGACGCGACCCGTCCTAAAAGAGTTACATAATGAAATTTTTTTTAAAACAAATTTTAAGATAGTTTCCACACCACCCCAGAGGTATGTCTTGTGGCGCGTTACTTTTTTAAATGGGTGTTCGCCAAGAGCCATATTGTCCCATTAAATAAAATGAGCAAAACACTTTAAAAACAGTATAAAACAAAACAAAATAAAATTCTATAAAACAAAATAAAATTCTATAAAAACAAAATAAAAATAATTTTTGATGTAACGAAACATTGTACTATTCTATTTAAACACAAACACTATACACACTTGCTATGTTCTTCTCATTTTTTTTTATTATTCTGAAGATCTTACTAAACTATTAGAAAATATTATTCGCTGTCTAAATCTGAAGATGCAGTGCTGCTATCGCTGTCATTATCTTCACCTGGCTCTAGTAAAACTTCGATATGAGTGTCAAGTTCCTACATACGACGTTCTTCTTTAATTATGTGGCCTATACATTTAGCCCATTTCTCTGGAGTTACATGGAGGATTGCTTGAATTAAAAGTTCCTTAACTTCGTTTAATTTAAACGTTTTGTTATTGCGTGCTACTTCTCCTTTCACTTGCGCCCAGTTCAATGGGATTAAGTTCGCAATGATAAGTTGGTAGGCGCAGAACTTTGACACCATAATCTTTTGCAGTTTCATCCACAGCATATTTAAGATATTCACTTTTCCTTAACCGTGCAATGTCAAGTAGCTGAATTTTGAGCATTGATTCTTCGTATGCAATCCCCTTTTCTGTAAGCCATTCTTGAAGTCTTCCTTTCCGCCATGCCGTCGTCGGTAATTGTTCTAGTCTGCGGCTATGGTATGGCGCATTATCCATTACAACCACAGACCCAGGTTCCAATTTTGGTAAAATTCTCTTAAACCAGCACTCAAATACTTCGGAAGTCATTTCTTCATGATAATCACCTGTTTTTTTTTTTCGACTCAAATTGAAGCAAACCATCATCAAGGAACCCTTTATCACTTCCTATATGGGTGATGATTAAACGCCGTCCCTTTCCTGATGGAGCTTTTAATCCTGTAGACCAGCCTTCTATAAATGCTTCGCGTTTACTTTTAACATTTAAATCTTGCCAAACTTTTCCAACTGTATGACCTTCGTTAATCCAGGTTTCATAAAATAATATATTTTGCGCCCAGCGCTGCGAATTTTGCGTATTTCTTCTAAATATTTTCTTCTCCACACAATAATTTCATTTTTTTCTAATAGAATACTTTTTCTATTGCGTTTCACATATCGAAAGTTCATTTCGCGCATGGTCCTGATTAAGACTCTACGACATATCTTGGGTAAGGCGTCATCGTTTTGGAGCTCTTGAGAAATTTTTTTCAGTGTTGGAATTTCAGTCCGAAAATAAAATGAATGAATTTTTCTACGTATAATATTTCTTGTCTCGTCATCTAAAACAATGCTTTTCCTACCTCTAGTTTTACCTTTTTCTTGCTTTTGATTTTCCGATGTATTTGTAATTACACGATAAATACAGCTAACGGATACTTTTGTTAAGCTGCTACAAATGTCGACCGCTTGGCTAATATTTAATGCCATTTTTCTGCCGACAATTCCTTCATAAACGTTTCGTATCATTACCTTCTCTTCGGACGTTAACATTTTCCGTCTCTTTTGCGACTTTTCATTTTTGGAATCAACATCAGAATTTTGTTTTCTTCTCTTGGAACAGCTCGGTTTTTCGTCCATTGTATAAACAAAAACTCCAATAAAACTCAAATCAAATAACCACAGAATATAACTATGTAAAACTATATATACATAAAATATAAACAAATAAAACTACATATTATATATAAAACTTCAATATAAACAGAAACTACAACCAAATAATCACAGAATTTAACTAAAAATTTACTATAAAACGACAAACTATAACACTCGTATTATCAATAACACAAATTTATAACAAATATATTCACAAAATGGAACACCTTCCGAAACGCCAATGTAATTGAACAATATATGACTTGATTTCTTCATCAGCATTACCGTCAAACAAGTTTTACAGCTCTGTCTGTGAGTCGGAACTCCGTCGCTTAGCTCAAGGTTGCCAAGAGATTGAAAAGTAATGTTTTAAAATATCGATTTTTATTTTATAAATTTAAATATGTAACAAAACGGAACATATAAATAAAATTTATTTTATTACAATTTTGTGATTAATTTTTAATTGAAAAAATCATGTTTTTTGGTATTTTTATGACGGTGATAATCGCTGCGTGGAAGAATACAGGTTTTGTATGATCATAATTACTACTTGTGAACACGAATTGGCTACACTGTACGACAACTCCTGGTCAACTCTTCTATAGAGAAGCACAAATAAATACACTACTTATATATTTTGTAATTTCTTATGAGAAAACGCAAATTGCAATTGAGAAAACGGGTGGTTTTCGAGGGCCGCTGTGTACATTTAAATTTGAGGATATTCCGCTTTTAAACTATGAAATCACTCTCTCAAATTGTGGGATTTTGACCATAGTTGACTGTATACCATAAATCACAAAAAATTTATTTAAAAAATCCATAATAAAGGATTCGGAAGTATATATATTTATAAAAAAGACCTTGTCGGGCTACATCACAGAACGTTTTCGGACTAAAAAGTCCATCATCAGTGAAGTTACGAGGTATACATGAGTAATAGTTGCTACCTAGGGCCCACATAGAGACAACGTCTCAAGACCAGCAAACCCAATTGGGAATCTTGCGGTTCCGTGCAGTATATCCGTTTAAAACATCATACGAATTTATTAGCAAAGATTAACTCCTTAAAGGAGTTTTACCCACATATTTAGTGGCCACTTCTCCCACTTCTAATTGGCATACCGAGGGCAAGTCATGGTTCTCCTATGGTCCTTTCCCTTCTCAGAAACAAGGCAATAGCTTGTGTGTTTTGTCTATCCACTAACTCTTCACTTCTAAGAACTGGTATAATTTTGTCGCTTTCTAAAACCTCCGAAAATCAATTTAGTCCCTTTCACCCGAGTCGCTTCTCAATTCTAAAGTATAATTACAATTTTTTTAAAGTATAATTTTAGGGCTAATTTCGCATGAGCCAAAAAATCCCCCCTTTAAAGAAAATTTAAGCTCTCGTACGAGTTTCGAAAAGTATTACTTTATTTGTGTACCAGCCTTCGAGTTAAGCAGGTCAACTTGGTGGTAAGTCGTTTATTCAGATTGTCTTGTAACTGTCCCGCTAATGTCGATTTTTTGTATTAATTATAGACTAGGATGTCGCTTCTGTTTGCCATCGTACTTTGTATCTTGGATCGTGCATATTGCCTCCTACTCTCGCTGCTTCTGATTAATTATATTCTGCCGCTGATCGGTTATATTCTGCCGCCGATTAGTGGCATCCTACTGCCCTATATTCAATACCGCCTATAGCTGATTCCGTTCTGCCGCTGTATTACCTTTGAACGCTGTGTATAAGGTTCTTGAATTCCCTAAGTCGAGCATAGAGCTTCAGTGAAAACGCGCCATCTGGTTTGGTTCTATTTTGTGTTAAGGCCTTCACCTTATTCCAAGACTTTCCTTGAACTCTTATCTCGTCCATGATGGAACTTCTCCAAGTTTGTACTGGGCGCTTTTTCTTCTTCCTTGGGGGAAGAGACCAATCTAGAGTGCAATACTGGAATGATTTTTTCTGAGTGTGTGACAATCCAACCCCACTTTATGGACTTTATTTGATGTTCTACCTTTTTTTGTTCGGTCAGGTGTAGTAGATCTTCGTTGCCGAAGATATTAGGCCAGAAAATACGAATAATTTATTAATAAAAACCTGCAGTTTATCTGTAAGGGTTTTTGTCACTTTCCAGGTTCCACATTCGTAGAGTAGAACAGCCATGACATTTGACTGGAATATGCGGAAATTTGTCCTTTTAGTATACTCGCCACATCTCCATACAGGGTTGAGCATGCTGAATGCTTGTTGAGTTTTTCTTATCCTCATACGAATATCGTCCTCTGTACCTCCGCTTTCTGTTATGACACTTCCAATATACGTAGAGTTTTTCATATTTTCAATCTGCATGTTGTTGATAGTAAATAGCGTGTTGCTTCTTGCATTTACTCTCATGGATTTGGTTTTACTAATATTGATTTTCAAACCTACTTTATTGGCTTCGGTGGAAAGTGTTTCCAATTGATCAGCCACATCCTGGAACCTTTGTCCTAACAGGCAGACATCGTCGGTGTATTCCAGATCTCTTAGGCGTGCAGCTAACGTTCATTGTATCCCTCTTGTATCGGAGTCTAGTTTGGAGAGACTACTGCTATGTTAAAAAGAAACGGAGAAAGCACGCATCCCTGTCTGACTCAAAATAAAACAAAAACATGGTGACAAAAAGTCAACAAAAACCATGTATAGGGGTGTGTTCCATTTAACCGATTGTTCTATTATGACCCTCACGGTATTAATGTGGTCTATGCAGGAAGATTCTGGTCTAAAGCCTGCTTGACCTTCTCGAAATTCAATCTTGTTTGTTAATCTTCTAAGTATGATGGTCGTGAAGATTTTATTTATTCCTCTCCAATTTTTGTATAGTGTGAGGTTGTCCTTTTTTGGAAGCTTAATAATGTTACCCCTTTTCCAGCCCGCTGGAATACCGTTTGTTTCTATTGTTTTTCCTACTCCCTGCCTTGGGAAATCCTCTAAAATCTTCAGGTCCGCATAAGGAAATTTTTACATTACTGATGGTAGTACAAGTACTGGAGTCTTGAGAGTTGTTATTGAAACTTGAGGAGTTCACATCTGTATCGATTTCCATTGTTGATTGTTGATTTTTTCAGCAGGAGCACCACCTGACGGTGGATCCTCTTTTACCTGACAACTAGCTGGCAAGTCCGGCATTGGTCGATCCGTAACGTAATTACATAAATAATCAGCATCGGTGAAAACATGTCTGTCGTATGGGTAAATGCTGCATGCTGCTTTTTGAGTTTTGGATGAAATGTTTAATATCTTCAACAAATAATACAGATCTCATCCAGCCTGACACATTAGTACCCTTCTCAGCACTAGTGCACTTGCTGACCTGCTTAGGTCCTTTTTCGGCAATTATTTTTTGAGGCTTCTGAACTGTGCATGTGCCTGTTTCGTCCAGATTAAATAATCGTGTTGTGTTCCATCTGCAATGTAAGGATTTTTGTGCACTGCTTGCAAATTGTCAAAAACACACCTCTACATTTGCCCTTGTGAAAGAAGTATCTTGGGGCAAACTATATCCCTCAGGTATTCTATGACAGAGCGATGTATCTCTTTTCAAAAATCCAGAGAACCAATCTTGCTCTGCCTATTTGTTAGCGTCCCATGACATTGGATATTTTATTTTATTTATTACTGTCATATCATCAGCAACTTTCTTGTATTCCGCCACTGGAAGACCATAAAACATTTTGGAACACATTAGCAAATACTCTCTCAGTTTATTTTCTTGTTCTACATTATATACTTGTCGGACATTGTAGTGCGGAACATACTTTAAATTTCTATCACATTCATTGTCTTTTTTCTTTTTCACATACCTAGATAACGTTACGTTGTTTCCATTTTTTAATTCTCCTGCTCGCCTGATGGAGTCGCCTTGACAAATGAGCTCTACTGCATCTTTCATGTCAGTCTCGAGAAACAAACCTTTATTGGTTTTTCTCTGACGATTTCGAACCATACTGGAACAAAAATTAAAAAGATTTAATAATTTACAAAAATTTACAAAAAACATAACAATTATAGAAAAGAAAATGCATAAAAGCAATTCAGCAAATATAAATGTTTTGAATAATGTTACTCAACCAGATAAAATATTGCAGTTTTTACCTTAAAATAAATGATGTCGCACGTATTTTAGTTTTGTCACACAGAAACACAATTTCCTCAGCCGCGTTCAAACTACAACTGAGATTATATTATAACTAAACAAAGATGGCTAGTTCTGGTGTCGACCGAAGCGCCACTGACAGTAACAGGTTCTCATTTACCCGCCAGAATTTGAAATACATACAATGTTTCAAGGTGCAACGTGTTTCATCGTGCCCCCTGCTCCCCTACCTTTTATAAAGGATTTTTTAAATAAAATTTTTGAAATAAATATTACATTTAGTGCAAAATACATACGTTTTTCGTTTACAGCCAGTGTTTTTGCAGTATGTAGCTTCTTTGATCATCATATTCAGGATGGTAATCCAATATTTGTTGAGTTAAACTACATTCAATTCATATCTTTACTTTAAATAATAAATATATTTTAGGTTAAATTCAGCAGCGATGAAACTGATAATCAAGATTCTAAACATAAACATTCCAAAACAATTTCTGACGATAAAATGTACTACACTCATTTGAACAAACTTGTCTATGACATCTGTGAAGATTATGTTAAGTACATTTCTGAAAAGAAATCGCGAATGTTGGTTAAACACCTTTACTCACTAGTAATTGATTTTGATACAAAGAACTTCTTTTCGAACCTCAATGAAAAGATGAAGCAAAAAGTACCTGACTCCAAACTGATTGATGTATATACCCAAATTCTTCATATGTGGCTCGTTGGTCCAGAGTGGTGTTGCAAACACGTTGTTAGTTTAATTTTTTTGATGTTTGAATACCTTGAGAGTACGGAAAAACAGCAGATTTTAAATACATTTTCGAAGGTAAGTAGTTTGTCTTCCCATTTACTTTAATACAATCCTTTGTCAAACTGTAAATCATGTACAAGTTAACTTTTGTGATACATTTTATTAAAAAAAAAATAATTTTAAAAACGATTTCCACGTTGAAAATCAATACATCAAAACAAAGATGTAAAATACAATTCTACCTCTTCCTCAACCCTCTTCAGAATTTTTATAATGATTAACACGTTGACTGCCAACTGCGAAATAACTCATAGATTACATTATTTTCAAGGACGCCAACTACGAGTTATCTCGTACTGTGCTTACTTGTCATTTTTGTGCAGCTACGATTAAACTCGGAATACATATATATCAATGCTAATATCGATAGATGGCTTCTAAAAAAAAAAAAAAAATATTGTCTTTCATGAACAGAAAATTCAAGAAATAAAATAATATTTTATTATTTGTGAAACTTCTTAAAATAATCTTCCACGCAAAGGGCTGGCTTCTCTTTACAGGCTAGACAGAAATAACGCGTTTTTTGCTTGCTTACATATACGGCATGGCTTTGACACTGTTAGGGAGGCGGTAGACTCTCTAAATAATGGAGCTCATGCAATCTAATTTTTTGCGAAATTGATTAAATCCCTTCTCCCATCGACGCGACGACGAATTCTTCTCTGAACTTTTATCAGTTTTAATCTGGAAGTGACTTTTAGAAGAATTTTGTGAGCATTGTTATATATATATATATATATATATATATATATATATATATATATATTATTAAAATAAATATTATATAAAATTATATATTAAACCTATAGCTAAGATTAATACTAATATAAAATTTATTATTAAACTCACCCGTCTTCCGGGTTGAACCGCGTTGATTTTCATTAAGCCGATCTTTCGACATTCTCTCTGATGTGTTCTTCAGGGCTTCCGAGCCCCCAGACACTACTACAGTGATCAATAGTCACTGCATTACTACCACTATGAACAGGGGACGGTTCATTTATACCGTTGATAATGACGTGGACTGGCTGGGTGTTGGCGTAGGGGTTAGCGAGGGAATTTGCGCGGGAGTTGGCGCGAACATTCCTGACATTGGGATTTTGATTCGAGGATGTAAAGGACGATATTTTCTTTATGAGAGGTCTCCATGTAGAAGGTAACCGTATGCCGTCGTCTCTTTTATTCGTCAATACACATATTTTGATTTGATACATTGTTTTCACGCATAATATTGAAATTATTTAGTATTGTACTCACCTTATATAATCTATCGGAAGATGGTATGAGTTATCAACCAAATGACAATAACGAAGTAACGACTGGAATTGATTTCGATTTATATGTGAGCGCCAAAAGTTTACATTATATAGCTTGTTTGTGTTCCAGTAGTTTTCAATTGATGGAAAAGTGCAAGGTCCCATTTGCAACAAAATAAAAACTTTCATTCCTGCAGCACTGACGTTTTGTCACTTTGATAACCTATTAGATTGTTTTATTGCTTTGAGTTTTTCAATTTCTTGAGCAGGTTATAAATTAGTTTGTTCCACCAGTAATGTAAGAAACTCATCCGGAAAAAATAATTCCACCAGCGTTTGTACTGTAAAATTTTACGTATCCAATTTCACACCAACATTTTCTTGTAAAATAAATAATTTAGTATTTTTTCTAAATACTAAGTGTTCAGTCCATCCAAGGTTTTCGTTTGAATGGAGTAGACGCGACAACCCTGCATCCAGAGGTTCCGTGGACCGCCGCTCTTCAAGCGCAAGAGAGAACATATACGCCGATATATATAGTTAAGGGCACGATTATAGTTCATATAAATTATAAATATTTTCCTTTTTTTTTTGTAATAAAACTTAAGAGAGATAATAATTGAGTGTTGTTATACACCCCACTAAGACAAAAAGGATTGTTCTCTAATGTAGTGAGAAAAAAGAGTATCGTGAACGTAACGCCATGTACCTTGGATATTCTTGAAGGTATTTATTTGTTAGGTAGTAAAATTTTACGTTATATCTATGGTAAAATAAATATAAATCGGAAATTGTAGAATCAACTTTGTTATTTTGTAGAACTATGTGATTTAAAGATAAGAAAAACCAAATCTTCTTCAGTTTGTTTGCATTCGCTTCTGGACAAAGGCCTCACAATCAGTTCTCCACTCTTTTCTGTTTTCTGCTATTGGATGCCAGTTTCTCTCCACTTTTACTTTGATGTCATCTAGCCACCGTTTTTGTAGTCTTCCTATACTACGACTGTGTTGGCATGGTCAAAAATGTACAATGTTCTCGTCCATCTTTCGTTATCTTATCCTGCTACGTGCTACGAGTATAACCAGCTCCATTTCATTTGCGCAATTCCTCCAATTACGTCTTTCACCATCGTCGTGCTTCGCACGTTTCCATTTCGTATATGTTCTGTCAGAGGAACATAGCTGGATCAGTGACACTCTGTATTGCTCTTAGTGTATTGGCTAATAACTCACTGTACTCTGTAAGTATCACAGTCTCCATTCCATAGGTCATAACTGGTAGGACTGATGTTGAATGCAATTTTCTTTAGATTTAGTAGTATATTTTTGTTTTTCAATACAACATTGAGTTTTGAAATTATAGTTTGAAGTTTTTCCACCAGTGATATTATGTGTCACATTTTTTCCGACAAGTATAGTTATATGGTAGTATATTATTATAATAGATATTAGGTTAGAACCAACGCCAGCTGATATAACACTGGTCATTATATTGGTAATTATACATTAATATTGTTGTAGATAACATCAGAAGAGTGTTTAAGTTGGTGTATTTCAGAAGCTTTATCTCATCCGTACAATAAAGATGAATTGGTAAAGAAGTGGTTACGAACGGAGAAAATTAGTAAATTCATCGTTTCAATCACTGACAAGATTGTAATCGATGAATGTCCACCAGATTTAAGTACATTGTTTAAGGTTGCGCTAACTGAGAATCAAGATGGAGGTAAGACCAATTAAATATCGAAGTTGTAATAAAGTATTACATTAGGTGATTTAGTTTATTCTATGGTTTGTTTTTTAACCAGGAGGAGTAAACTAAAAACACAGATTTATACCCAAGAAAGTTATTAGAAAAGTCACTAAATACATCTTCTCTTTTGGTTGATTATCTCGGCCTTGCGGTAGTCCAGTAATAAGTATCGGACAACCTCACAGGTCGATTCTATTTCTAACCAAACTTTGTTTATGTTCGAATTGTCGGACTGCCATGAAGAATTTTTAGTTTATTTATCATGTTGTAGTAGAAAATCGTCCGGAACGTATACAAAAGCGATATATTCGTGATAAAATTATAACTAAATCCAATGGAATTTCACAATATTTCATCAGCGCATTAATTTAAACAAACAATATTTTATTTTACTTTATATGAATATAACCAGTTTTCATGGGATTGCCCATTTTTCATATGTACAGGTATAGACTTATGTTCATTATTCAGTCTGCTTATATTCCTTAATTTTTCTGTAAATAGTTGAATTCGGAACACCTAAAATTAGCACATTACTTTAGTAAGTCTTGATTTTAACAATACTTATTCTGCAAAACTAAGCTGTTGCCTGCTTTATTTTTGCTATAATAGCTGTTATTTTCATTCCAGGATTATCATTCTTTATTTGTTTGTACATTTTTATAATACGTTGTTTTTCATTTGATGATAAATGGTCCAAATCTACTTGGCACTTTTTTAGATGGAGCAGAATAATTACCACTAGTACTTGGCATTGAATCCATGTTGTTATCTTAATAACACTAATACCTCGCTAAATTGTTCTGAAAAGAACTGTTTTTTGTATAAATGCAAACGAAAAATCTAAAAATTAAAGGAATAAAGCAGAAAATACAAAAAATCGTTGATATAAATTTTGAACTTTAAAATCATAGATAAATAATATAATATTTTAAAATTTCATAAATGTCATTAGTGTCAAAATGCCATAATTTAGTGGAGTAAACATGCCTGCGCTTGTACCATTTATAAACAAGCTTACGGCGCGGTAAATTTGAATTACTCCTCTTGGTTAAAAAACAGACTATAGTTTAGAGGAAGTTTATTTTTGGAACTCTGTTCTATTCACTTGATTTACGAATTTTAAGTATTAATATGGCTAAATATGTACTAATATCGAGTGATAAATGGTTCTCCAATACAAAATTTAGGAAAGGTCAGTTGGGAGTACAATTGGAGATAACTGCACAAGTCCGACAATAGTGAAGGAAAGTAGTAAGCGCGGCCAAGACTTACCTCCAGTTTTAGAGCCGATGATGATGATGAGTATGGGTAGAGAGCATTTCTATTTACACATAAATTGTAAGGCTATATTTAATCAGTTAATAAATAAATGTGTAGCATTCCTTCAACACTTCTCGTATTTGCATTATTACAAAACTCTTCTTCATCCTTGTTCGTCCACTGCTGGACATATGCCTCTTCTATTTTGTTTGCGTTGATGTCTACTCTCGGCAATTCTTATCCACTGCTTGGTGACGGTATATTTGATATCATCCATCCACCTCTTCAGCGGTCGGCCCACTCCTCTCAGATTCTCTCTTAATCCCCAGTTCTTTTATTCTCTGCGTCAATTTTCAGGGTTATCTCGAGCAACATGCCCGACCCATTGCCACCAAAATATCCTTTGTTATGGCCTTTCTTCTTGCCACTCTTCTAGGTTATCTTCTATTCTCATCGAAAAATTTTAATTTAATAATATAAATTTATATTTTTATTATTTACTAATCACACATAAGAGGCTTTTTGAAATAGTTGTAGAAATATATTTGGTCAAATGGTTTAATTAATTTTTTTTGTATTTTAGAACTTTTTATTTGTGATGCTGCTGTTGCCGACATAATATCCAAGCTGGTATCAGTAGTAGAAAATTATTCGGACCACGTAGTTACTGCTGATACCTGTACGAGCCTTGCAGCTTATATTTGTGCCATCATCTATACAGACAATCTATTATTAACATACAGCGATCAACTGCTACTGGCTCTTTTCAGATTGTCTTGTAATTCAAATATTGATAACGAAATTATATCGACAGAAACGATATATGAACTAACCAGTGCTTGGCAAGATGCGGTTACTCTATTATGTAAAAATATGAATAAAGAAGAAAGCTTAACATTAGTGTCTAAACTTGCAGTAGTGGTAGAAGAAGAGTTTATGAAAAGTAATCTAGACGAGGCAAATGTAAACTATTTAATCAATGTAGTTGTTAACACTTTAAGAGCGGTTTATAAAAGTTTACCTCTACATTTAACTGTATTTTTAATGGTGTTCGTCGAAAGAAAATTTATAAATTCCTTTAAAAGGTAAGTCAAAATTAGCATAACAATAATAATAATAATAAAGGTCTTTATTTTTCCTTCAAATTCATACAATACACAAAATATATAAATTATATATGCATAAACTACAATAAGAAAGAAAAAATGCCGAAGATCAGTTGGTGTTGATTTCAAGAAATCCGTACCTCTGCTTTTCATCTTAATATAATATATTTTTTTTACATGTTCTGTAACAATCAATTAAAAACCATAACCAATAGAAACATTTCATAACAGGTCATCAAATAGTTGCACATGTGTTACTCACTTAGCAATTTAGATTTAAGAGATTTCTTAAAAGATATAATCGATTTTAATTTTAATTCGTTAGCTAATCTATTATATACTTTTGATATTTGATATGTAAATGAATTTTTGAATTGTTCGGTACGATGTAGCGGAGCTGTAATTGTATTTTTGTATCTTGTATTTACATTATGTATGTCAGTTATGTATATAATTTTTTTAAAAAGATATGCTGGTAGAGAGTTTTTGATATTTTTGTGGAAAAGACAAGGCATGTAGAAATCTTCTCTTGTCCATGCTCAACCATTTTACATGTTTTAATTTGTGAGAAATAGGCTGGTGTCTTCTACACCACAGATCAGACTGAACTTCTGAACTGAGACTTCTCCTGTCATCTGAATTAATACAAGGCCCATACACAACATCTCCAAAATTTTGATAATATTAAACTTTCGCATAGTATTTGCTGTTCTGTTCTGACGAATTAAATTGTAATCATAAATTTGAACATTATTATTAATAATGCGTTATTCGGTATTATTGGCTTGAGTCCTGTCTCAGAGACACAAAATATATTAAATTATTTATCAATAATATAATTAACTAAATCAAGTATTTTAGGAAATAAAGAACGAATATTAAGATGTGCAACTTTTAACCTACCTGTTATATCTTTCTTCAAAATGTCCACTTCCATTGCCTAAATATTCTTGATGTCGATTCACATGGAATCTTTTTACACTAACTTCAACGGGCCCGAAATCCGATTTATACATATCATCCTTCACCATCTTCACCACATCATCATCTTGTTGAGGGGAGCCGATACCACAAATCGTTTTAGCATGTTTTCTTCGAGGGTAGCTCTTTAACCACAATAGATTTCTCTTCCATTCCGCGTGTTTCTCGTAAAAATGTATGAATATCTTCTTCTGTCGATGTCCTCCTAATTCTGTATATGTATAACCAAACTTTAACCTCTCTCCTCCTCTTTAACCTTAGGTTTCTATTTGCATCATATATAATTGTTTTAATTGCACAATTTTGATGTTAAAATATGATGATTTAACCCAAGTTACAGTGTAAAATATTACTCCTTCCTTTATCTGCCTTTCATTTGATCAAAATTTTCTTTATAAGTTCAAGGAATTTAAAACACTTGAAATTATACTTAATTCTCACTATAATCAAACATGTCTATCTCTATATACTACGCCACTGATTAAATTGTTATTTTATGACAATTTTTCAATTGCTAAATATTTCTACTATTTAAACTTAGCCTACACCGACCCTGTTGAAATTACATGAATACGCTACATCAGCCGTGTAGTCGACACGTGCGGATTTCAGTTGCCATGGAATAATGGACGAAGACGCAACGATATCCACATGGTTAAGGCTATCTTAAAGCCAACGATTATTATACAGTTGCTCATAACATAACTAATGTTGACAGAGTTCGACGTGCTATAAGGCTAGGCGCATACACATCGAATTTGGACGGTCGATAAAAGTTCGACCGAACTTTTGTCGATGATGCCTTGCGCGCACACTACACGATATTTATTCGATGACGTTTTTTAATCCACAAAGGTTTTTTAGGTGGAGTACACAAAATCACAATGAGCCACGTAGCAACACGGAGCGACGTACCTTGAGCAGCGTCAAAAAACGCAACTGGTCCTTTGGTCGGTCGATAAAGATCGATGTGTGTGCTCGCGATCATTTGATACTATACGCCTTGGAACGACGACAACGACCACGGCAGCCGTGAATGCAGTGACATTCATCGATCGCCACACGACCATCACACGACATCGATGCCGTGCCGTTTGGCGATCGATGTGTGTGACCGCTTACATTTGTTTCTTCGCGCTACCCAAGGAATTTGTTCGGTCGAACTTTTATCGACCGTCCAAATTCGATGTGTGTGCGCTTAGCGTAAATTGTAATCTTCTGCGTTCACTTCGCAAACATGCACAAGCGCTAAATTTGTCTCGTCTCAATATTCAGCATATTTTAAAGAATAATTTAAGTTTTCACTTCTATAAAATTCAATTAGGCCAATTTTTGAAAAAAACTTATACTTACGGAGGAAAACTTTTTCTGATAAAATGATAGCGTGCTTCTAGAATGAAGGTGGCTTATGATTATGGATATAGATCGGGGCAGGGCTCATTCATGAGTCCTACAGACACTTAGATCTCCTAAAGCGGTTCCATTGCATCACCCCTATAATACGGAATGGGTCCATAAGAACCTGATCTGCGTTTCTGGAGTCCTGGCTGTTCCGGGCTTCCATATCTGCTATAATCACTCGAAATTTGAGCCGTTTTTGCCGTTCTAAACGTCTAATCCTTTAGTAACATTATAGCCTTACAGAAAGCCATGAGTCTCTTTAAGCGTAACTCACTCATTTGTCTCGGTTACATAAAGGCTAAACTTAGGATCTGCCGCCTCTGGTAGACCAGTGCCAAGGACTTCCAGATGACATGTGAGGAGGTTTCCTACTCCTCATTACCAAGACGGCACCGTGGGCCATCCGCCAATCTTAGCAGGTGAAGGTCCGCCTGAGTCTACAAGAACATCTTCTATGGTTTAGAAGGAGAGGTTAAGCTGTAAGACTTTGGGATGGCCCCATTATGTGCAGCCTAGCCTCTCATACCTCCACAACTGGCCTAGGAATCTTGGAACCTCCGCAAAAGAAGCTCCTTGAGACTTCTCAACCAGTACTGAAGAGCACTCTAATCACAGGTTTGAGTCCCACAGACAGAGTGAATCAGCCCTGTCTTGCCAGGGCCTTAACCGTTTCGTTCCCTTCTACTCGTGTTTATATCGGTACTCATACCAAGTTAACCCTAGGTCTCCGCATTATCAGCAAATGGTCTCTTACACTCAAGAACCAGCTTAGAACTTATTTTGAGTGCTTTCAGAAGCACAATGCTCGCTATTAATGTCTTGACGATCCCCTTTAACATCCACTTAGTCCTTGATACATCTGAAATTTAACAAGTCTATGAATTCATCTGACAATTCTCAAATCATATTTAACCTTGTTTGTTGATAGTTTTCATTTATATCAAAAAAAAAACACCGCATGGGTACCGGTTATATAAAGTGCTTAAGTGATAAAAAAGTTTGGTATAACGTTTTCTGGTAAAGGCCTATTCTAATAAATTTTATATACTAATCATAACTCTTTTCTAAAATATAATTCTTTTCTCTTTTTTCTCAAATCCCAAATGGTAATCTTTTGTGCTCCTATTCTGATCTCTAAGTTGTGCTACTAAGTTTAGATAATCAGTGCATTTATATTAGTTAGTTTTAGTATTTTAAGGATACACGTTAAGGCAGATTTAATACAATAAATTTGTTTCTATCAAAATAAACTGTTTCCATTCAAACCGAGTGACTAACTCTTACTGGTGCCTAATTCTTTTCTTCTAATATTTTCTACCATTATACTCGCTCTACTTTCGAAGGAAAGGCTGAAATCACGGATCCAAGATTGGATTCGACTATCCTAAAGGAAGAGACCTCTACCTAAGAGTGGAAAGAACATTGATCTCCACACACATAAATCTGACATGACATCATTTTTAGCTTTAGCTGTGGTAATAAGTTCACTGTTTATGCTCGCAACTTTAAATGACACAGCGTTGTCGGCGTCAGCCGATATGAGCATCCTTCTTCTATCTCCTTCAACTATCATCCTTCAAGTTGCAAGATTTCAAATTATTTTTATTCGTACTTTATTTATTCTGTGGTAAAGTAAAAATTATTTATGTTACAGTTATATAGAAGAACTGTGCAAAGTAGCCAAATATATCAGTGGTGAGTTGAGTAACCCTCGTGAAGAACTTAAATACATTTCGAACACAATTGATAAAATTGATATTGCTAGATATTTCACTTGGATTTACTTTAAACTTGGGATAGTTGCGTCTACTCTTAAAGATATTTTGCCAGATGAATACGAGGATGAAGATGATGAGGAAGACAAAGACCCTCCTGGTGGTGATATTGAAAAACCTAGTATTATTTTAAAAGTTATTGACCGTCCAGAAAAATACGTTGCACAAATTCTACATGATTTGTGTGTATGTCAAGTATATATTGAAACGTTTAAAAATGTAAGTACTAATATCAGTTATTTATATATTTTATTTACTCTTGTGTATTGTCAAAAAAATGTGTTAACAAAAATTTATATTTCTATTTACCGAACAGGATCTATCAAATTTTTCTTCAAATATATGACCTATGTTTTGTTGATTAAGGTTAGCTCCTTTGCCAGTTTGTAGATTGCACGCTATAATCTAAACCCAGTGAGACAGTGAAAAAAGATGTGAGCAGTCCTTGCAGGGGACATAAAGGGACAGTAAAGTATGAAATCAAATACCAAAACTGGCTACTTATTTTCAACTTAAAACCATGTCGGCCTACTTAGCCCTCAGGACGCTGTTCTCAAATCCCATGAAACAGAAGCAAATCATCTTCTCACCACATACATGGAATTGAGGGAAACTTCGCCGGTTTTTCAAAACTCTTACGAAAACGGTGTTTACTCGCCCAGTCCTTCCATTGTTTTTCTTGACTTCTAGCTATGCCTTTCCTCGTGTAAAAATCGTACATTCTCGTACCAGATTTTACATCGTGGTCAATATGGTCCGTCTTCTGCGACGTTTTGGAAACCAAATTAGTCCCCAACGTGCCAATATTCAAATTTTAGTGGGAACTTATTTAAATTAAAACGTTATTAGGTGAGGTCAAATTCGCCAACTACGTTGCTAATTTTTGTTTTCTGCCAATTCGGCAAAAACCTTGAGAAGCAAACAGCTTTAAGGTCGTTGTCATGCCATCAGTCAGGGGCGTCTCAAATAAATTTTTATATATTTAATATTCGATATTTAAGGGAAAAATTATGCTACCAGTTAACGATGAAATTAACGAATGGCTTAGAAACCGATTATTTAATCATGAATGAACAATGCTTACTTTTTAACTTTTGTGCTATTGCTTTTATCTTTTAGACGCTGTATTTTGATTCCATTGTGCATTTCTACGTATTAACAGAAATGAAAATGAAGTCCACATTAAACAATACCGATAAGTTGTTTAGATCAAATCTTAAAAGGATTATAAAAGAAAATACCAGAAAATACGGTTGGCAGTGGCCTGCAGTGGCTTATCTTTTGTATTCAGAATTATTACCCGAAGATCTACAAAGTATTTATAAAGAATTTGTACAGGATGCGTCAAAAACGGATATCTCTTATGAGTTACATTTGACTCAAGTTCTTAGTCAGAATATTAATTATGATTTCGTTCATAATAAAGCCAATGCGATTGATAATATTGTCTCGTTGCGTAGTTTAATTCGGTGTGACGACATTGACGTTCAAATAGCTGAGGTATTTACGCAAATGGAAACAATTAGAAGCAAGAATGTGCCACAGTTCCTGTACAATACGTAAGTAAATTAGTTTTACGTGTATTTAAGCTATTAACTGTAAGTTTTAAGTTTATGGTCGGTTTCCGGTTATTTTACATTTTTTCCGGGCTTATAATCAATCATCCGCCGTAGGGAAGAACGTCGTGACCGTTGCGGAATCTTTAAGCTCAAAAACAATGTACAATTGCATCACTATACTTTTTACTCATTAAGTGTTACGTAGTAGTTCAAGTGTAGTACTTTAAATGGTAAAAAATGGTTTATTCTAATACGCCTTGACAGATATCAGTTATGTAGTATGTCAATTTCGTTATATGAGGGTTGATCCTTTTGCGCCTCCAGACACTTATAAATCAAAACATTTATTATGGTTGTAACCCGTTATGTCTAGAAAATTATTAGTCTCAAGGTGTTAAATCATATCTACAGGAGACGTTCGAATTCAAGAGGGGAGTAACATATCAGTATCAAAATGGATTGGATCCAACAACGAGCGTACTTGCGTTTAAATAGATGACTGCAACGCAAATTCATAATCATTTGTAGATACATTAGGGAATCTACGGTACACAGGACATACTGAGAAACTGGTGTCGTGAGTTTAAATGTGGTAGACAGTCCTATACAGACGAACATGCGTGTGGAGCATCCACAACCGTTATTACAAAAGAGAATATTAAAAAGGTCCATGATCTTGTGTTGCACTGTGGATGTGTGACTATTTAGTATTTAGACAAATAATTGAAGATACTGGCTTCTCATACCATGTGGAACACTACATTCCTCTTTCCACACCAAAATGAACCTCTCCCTTTGTTTTTTTTTAAACGTTCTGTTGCTATGTTTTCATTTCTTCTCTCGTATATTTTTCATCTTTCCTTCACTAGTGCGTGTATCGGAATAGACCCAGTCATGACTCCCAGCGCCTCAGTAGAGACGGTTCTGTATACCCATGCCACCCTCAATAGACTCTTCCTATCTGCTCGGGTGAGCTCCTTTCTGTATGCCTTTGTTAAAACTGCAGTACAGCAGAGAGGCGCAGCGTAGAGGACGATTGATTGAACAATAGAATGAAGGATCTTCCTCCTCTCAGTTTTGGGTCCTCCGATGTTGGGCATGATACCCCATCTTACCGCAACTCATTAAATCACCGCCTTTACGTGCTCCCCCACCTTCTGTTTTGATTCAAGGTCACAACCTAAATACCTTACGCATTTCTTTGGTACCACTCTCTTTCCTGCATATTTGAATTTTATCCCGTCTCTTTTCCCTAGTCCCTTGAGAACTATAGCCTCGGTCTTACCCGCAGCCAGTTATAGGTCATGCATTTTCATCCATTTCTCGACTTAATCGCATATACGCTGTGCATCAAAGATAAGGTCCTCCCTATCCCGAGCCACTACCAGCATAGCGAGGTCGTCCGCAAATGCTCTCCGTGTTGTTGGCTCACAACTCCTTCATATGCCAATACCAGAGCGTGGGTCATAGGACCGGACCCCACTCCGACCGGCATGTCAACCACCTCTGCTTTTTCTACCACAATTTTCCTCTCTGAGACAGATAGTCCAAGACCAATATTAGGACATACGGATGTCAAACCTGGACCCTAACTAATGTAAATATGAACAAACTAGCCACAATGGAAAGGGCAATGTTAGGTATTTGACTGAGGTAGAAAGAGGAACGATTGAGTAAGATCAAAAACAAAAGTTAAAAATATCACAACACAAATTGTCAACATTAAATGAAGCTTCGCATGCCACACTGCTAGACAAAAACACCACGTTGAAACGGCACAATACCACATTGGAGACCCTACAAAGATAAACGACCAAGAGGGAGACCCCAGATGGAAATGGAAATGCCATCAAAAAAATAGCCGGAACAAATTTGCTAGTATGTTGCTCAGGATAGAGGTTGGAAGAGGCCTATGTTAAAGAATGGTCGATAGAAGGCTAAGAAAAAGTGGATCTGGAGTGGAACAAAAAGGATCAGCTCTCTTACATTGAATCATTATCAAGTCATCGGATCTTGATATAATTGCTAAATTATTCTAAAAATTGACATTATTTTCTGTGTATCTATCTTCAGACGTCGGCTGTCATCATGGAAATATATCATGGAACCTTTTTGTCTTCAGCGTTGAAACTGCGACGGTTTCTATGAATAATGAATCCCATTAGTTGATATTTATGTCCTCTGACGATATAGGCAAGCATTATTTTTCTTTAGTTGTGTTTGGTAGTCTTAACAAAGACAAACGGCAATAGATGCTTTGAAATTTTTCTAGTTCTCTCTAGTTGTTCTCTAGTTCATCGTTTTTTCTTATACCAAGTAACTGGGCATATCTTCTATAAAGTAACCAAGCATTCACAAATGCTAAATCAAATATATGGAACACAATACTTATAGTTTCTGCAACAACTGAAATTCGAGTAGATGCTTTTCAGTACATTCTAGTTGAGGGTAATCCATACACTGACATGAATAAACATACACCGAAAAACTGTTCTATTTCGTTCTGGTCTACATTTAGGTTAGAAGATTTTTCGGTGTTCTTTTGTGTAGAATCCAGATTTGATATTTCCTTATTGAGACACCCTAAAAAATGTCTTGTTCGCCACTAAACTCTTCGATAATATATTTATCAAAAGTTCCAATGGAGTTTTTTAAAATTTTGATTAATAAAGAAGATATTTAACCCTGTCGTTTTCGACATTTTATCTTCTCTAGTTTTCGGTATACTCTGCAAAACATACCAATTTGGAACACCCTGTACAACCGGTAAAAAGTAAAATTCGTGTAACCTGGCTAACGTCTAGTGTTAGGGTTTTCAGGTCACGCATGCGCCCCTAACATGATTCAATGATCAATTACAGAGTCGGGAGCGACGGCTTTACGAACCTTCCGAAGCACGGTGGCGGCTCAATTAAATGAGAACTTGAAAATTTTCTGGTGTCAATTCTAGCGAACCTGGGCCCTCTAATTTATTAGCCACTAAGCTATAGCCTCCACTGCCAGTGGTATGCACATTAATAGTGTATACTAACACTTCTTGTGTCTGCTTCATCGTGTTATGTCGTAAACGAACGAAGGTGATACCTAAAATAATAATTATTATTATTTATTAATATAATAATATTATGATAATGATTATAACAGTAAACAGTATCAGTAAAATACAAGAATTTAAGGCTGTTTTATCGGTGCACCAAAATTTTTTCTCTGTTATTTACCGACGAAATGTCTCGAAATTTGGACATGTTATACGAAATTATGTTGCCTTTAAACTGATGGTTTTACTTTTTTTATTTTTTTGAATTTTCTGTTGAAAAATTGGATTATACTGTTTAACGTTCTATTATAACCAAACTTTTCACGCCCATCAGTTGAAAGAGTTTTTTTTTCTGTAATCGTTGATTCTTTTTTCACCTTTCTGTGTCCAGTAATAATCGAGAAAAGCGTAGTCAAACTTTGAAGAAAATTGCTAAAAAATACTGAAATCTAATAGTGAAACGTGTTCCTCATCATTGTCGCTGAGCTTAATCGTTATCGCATTAGTGACGTCAAATCTCATGAGCGTACGGTACGGTCTTATTTTTATTTCTCTATGGGTACGGTCAGTTAGTTCGCTTGAATTAGAATCCATTTTAGTTCTTTCATTCTTGTATTTTCTTTATCAACTTGCTTAGTTTTTACAGTTTACAGTATTCTTATTTATTTTGAAAACATTGAAATTATTTAGTTTACGTGTATGTTAAGTAATATATTATTAGTTTAGTGGTATAAGTTAAAAGTTCTTTAGTTTACGCGTATTTTTAAGTATTACATTAGGTTAGTGATATAAGTTATAAGAGACAAGATAAAAAATGAGTCCCAGTAAACGTCCTATGTCAAGGAAAAGGAGAGCAATTGCACTGCTTCTTAGTATTTATTATTTATATTACAACCGTTTTTAAAAGCTTTTATTTAACTTATATATATATATATATATATATATATATATATATATATATATATATATATATATATTCAAGGTTTGAATAATCATTCTCCATTTTCATGCAACTTTTCTAATATGGAGGTTATCAAAGAAAAAATGGACGGATTGATAAGTACATTGACTTTTAAATGTCAAATGTGGAATATTGAAAAGGAGATAGCAACATAGGATTCTGGTAACAATTCACTGAACTTGAATGGTTCTGGTTATTCAGACATACAGCAGCAGCACGCTGCATTAAATATACCTGTGATTTCCTACAGGCAGTATGCAAAACATACGGAAACAGTTGCAGATATCATCGGCCAAACACTTTGTGATTCCTTAGAAGAGACTGGACGGGAGGAATTAGCTTTAGCCAAAGAAATTGGTGAAGTAGATTCCGACGGAAATGGGTTAATAACCGTTATAGCTGATGGTGCTTGGTCAAAAAGATCGTATAAAGTAAACTACGATGCTTCTTCAGGTGTAGTACCTGACGTTGTAAAATTTATTAGTACGCCTTTGATGGATAGGACATGTAATTAGGCGAGATGAAGATGAAACGATCAGAAAAATTTTCGACCGAAGAGGACCAGTGGGAAGACGATCCAGAGGAAGACCAAAACTTAGGTATCAAGATAACACAGAGGATGATCTAAAATCCATCGGAGTTAAAGCATGGAGAAAGTTGCCAGAGGCAGGGGCGAATGGAAGATTGTTCTGAAGAAGCCTTTGGCTCATGACGAGCTGTAATACCACTGATATGATGAAATAACTATCCACGATTTGTGTTTTATTCATCAATTGGATACTTTTCTTATGTAACTGCAACCTATAAATATATTAAAATAATGTATATTCCATTCAGAGAACATTTTCCTCGCAGTGCGTCGCCTCGAAATACTTGCCAGATAAATACATTTACTATTATGATGGTTTCGCAGGTACCAATTTTTTATAGATAAATAAAAATATTTTTTGTTTAATTTTTACTACGCTAATATCAGTTTTCTCTAACAAATATTAACAAAATATTAATTATATATTAATATTAATATAACAAAATTTAAATTTATTATAAATAAACACTATGGTGTTTTTTGCAGTCACGTTTCACAAATTTTTATTTAATACTATGTTTAGCTAAGACATATAAATTAAAAATGTGATTAATTCTTTTTAAAACATTATCTACGATAATTAATCTAAAAAAAAGTATTCCGACAAAACTAATTTGAATGGAGAATAATGCATTTATTTTAAAGAACCCGTGGGCCGGCGCCACTGAATAAACATCCAAACTATTAGGAGGTCACGTAGGGTCTGACATAGCAGTGTAGAAAAGTAAGTGATACGCCCACTTCAAATCGCAGTATGCTATAACTGCGAAAACAGCCTTAAGTTTATTTGGTAAAAATGGAAATTTATTTTATATTATGTTTCTATTTATTATGTTATGTATTATATTATGTATCTATATTATTTTTCAGTCGTGATATAAGTTGGCAAGACTGTCAAGAAATTGTTGAGGTTATAAGATTGTGTGCAGCTATGATGGAACATAAATTCAACACACTGAGCCAAAGACATTGGGATTTTGCTGTTTTGTCCCTAGTGTCATGGGCATCAAATTGCCTAAAATTCAAAGATTTTTATGATTCACTTCAGGTATAGTATTAAATATTTTATTGTAGTGTTCAAATATTCTTTACAGAATCTCTTAGAAAGGAATAAGCTATATGTTTTTTTCAAAAATATTTAATAAATAGTAAAACTATAAGAAAAATTCAAAATTAATAACAACATATTTATTATTGAAATTCTTTATGTAAGATTGTGAGATTGTTCAAAATCACTCCCTGGATTCTCACGTAGAATTATTTTTTGCTACGTTACCATAGCTTAAATTTTGACTAAATATTTAAACAAAAAATATTTACATGCAGTTTATTAACATAATAGAACTGCATCTGTTACATCCTTGAAACATATGGCCAAAACATATTTCTCTCTTAATACGGCCCCAATGTATATCGTTATAATACACAGTGCATCCCTGTGACATGGTTCCTTACCATATATTTATTTTTAAAAGTATTTTCTATAAAAAGGATCGAAAAATAGTTCGTCATAAATCTCCCAACTTGTTTTTAATCTACACGCTATTTTTTATATACACTCTGGGTCAAAATTAACCGGCCACCTTAAAAATGGGTAATTTTTGATTTCTTATATCTCCTAAACCTGTTGTCCGATTTAAGTGATTTTTCTAATATGTTTTAGCCTTATTCCTTGACAATATCTTTATAATAATATTGTTGCTAAACAGGTAAATTTTCATTGTATACCGGGTGTACGAATCAAACTGTTTTTTTCTTAAAGTTTGCATCACCCTGTGAAATATTCTAGCATTTGTAGAATACTGAAATTAAATCGTAACCATAGCATCATGCTTTAACATTTTGTTTTTTTATTGATTCGCTTATGTTGGATAATACAAAAGTTAGGTGCTAACAACTAGACATGTTTTTTATCAATTTTTATCTCCGCGGAAGAGAAAAAATAATCTTTTTGAAAAAAAGTTATGTGTTACAGTAAAAATCCAATGAATAAAATCTTCGAAGACGATTAACAATATTTTGGAAATCAGTCTAATTCAAAAAACAATTGGTTATCAATAATGGGTGTTGCAGCCTCTAGCCCTTAGGACTTCTTGGAGTCGGTTTGGCAATCCATTCATGATATCCTGGATATCAGATTGGGGATATTGTGCCAATCCTCTACTGCAGCTGTCTTCAGCTCTCCAAAGGATACATGGGCTGGTACTATTACTCTTACCCGTCTTTTGAGGTTGTCCCAGATATGCTCAATTGGGTTAAGATCGGGACTGTTTGCTGGCCATGGTAGAACTTGAATCCCGACCTCATTAAGGTACTCACGGGTAGATCTTGCTGTATGGCAACGTGCATTGTCATCCATTAGTCTTAAGTTATCACCTATGAATGGTGCAAAAGGCATGACATGGTTTTGGAGAACTTCTTGCACGTATACTTGGGCATTCGTACTGCCTTTACCGAACACAACAAGAATCGGTACGCGCTTTGTAAAAAATACCTCCCCAAATCATTATTGACCATCCTCGGTAAACTACTGTTTCGGTTATAGCGCATGCAGCAAACCTTTCATTTTAACGCCTATAGACACGTTGGCGTCCATCTGGACCTTTTAGGGCTATTCTACTCTCATCTGAAAACAGTATATTCTGACAATGAAGCGGTCATCTCGAACTGAAGTCCATCGTTTTCGGCCTTGACCTGGCTTGCGGTTAAATGATCCTATCTCCCGAAATCGTCTGATGGCATATTGTGCCGTGGTTGTGGGTTCATCGAGTATACCAGCGTTATGACGTTGACTGTAACCAGCATCAACTAAAGCCACTGCCCTAGCAGCATCAGTTAGAACGAGTGGCATTTTTAAAATCACAAACAATAAATTAGCACTAAAATTTCAAATTTTCAATAAAAAAATATTCGCTCACAATGATATAAAATTACAATTTTAATTGTTAATTTTAATTACAAATTTAATTTTAATTACAAATTTTTCGAGAATTGTTATTAACACGGAAACAGACTTGGCAACAATGTCGTACAACGACTGTCAAAAATCCTTCGATGACACAAATTTAGGAAACAAACTGTCACAGGTAATGTAAACAAGACAATAATAAAGATGGTGGGGTAATTTTTTTGGTTAAATAGTTAAATCGTCTGTATTATTGAAAAACATGGCTAGTTGTTAAACTACCTAACTTTTGTATTATCCAACATTAGCAAATGAATAAAAAAAAACAAAATGTTGAGAAAACATAAGGCTATAGTTGGGTTTTAATTTCAATATTTTATAAATGCTAGAATATTCCACAGGGTGATGCAAACTTTAAGAAAAAAAACACAGTTTAATTCGTACTCGCGGGATATAATGAAAATTTACATGTTTAGCAACCATATTATCAACGAATAAGGCTATAAAATATTAAAAAAGTCACTTAAACCGAACAACAGATTTAGGAGATATAAGACATCAAAAATAACCCATTTTTAAGGTGGCCGCTTAATTTTGAGCCACAGTGTATTTGAGTCGTATGTTAATTTAGGTAAATCTCGAGAAAAAATTGAATCGCCCCAAAAACAACTCTATCTATTTCTCGTTAAGAGATCTCAACGGCCCGTCGTAAAATATCTTTTATTACCTTTTAATATGTAACTGTAAGCCATAAATCACTCACTTGTATTTTTTCTAGTTCTAAAAGATTTAAACATTTGATTATAAAAAGGGTTTTGTTACTTGTTTGCTCTGATGTCTCTGTGATTTTTGCTTAGATGAGGAGATATGTTGTGGAATGCAATGTTTAGATTCCCGATTTTATCTCTTTACATCTTTTAGCATCGTCTGTTTTGCCTTGCAATTCTTTGAAGGCACAGATTAAAGCAACAATCTGGATTTTGGTTTTGTCAATAGAAATCTTCAATAGAAACCTTTCATATTATACACTTTAAAGTAGAGGACTTTAAAATGAGCTTGTTAATATTTTTGAAGTGCGTTCCAGAAACTTAATTAACTTAATTTTTGAAGTTATACTTCTATATACTTCATCTAATTTACATAACGATGCACGTCATAACTACGTCAGAGATCGAAGTTGACACAGTTGCCGAAGTATAAAAAAATCCTGGCTCCATTTTAAATCAAAGAGATCACATAATTATTGCAAAAGTATTACCATCTCTTTACAACGACTATTTAAATTCTTACGTGACATTTTTTAAATAAAACACACTAATTTTGTTCAAAAAGAACAGATTTTATTAAATAGATAAAAATATAAAACAAGGGGTATTCACTTTAAAATTCAAAATAATAAAGTACAAAAAGTGTCAACACCGCAACTGTCAAATAAGTGTTACCAATTTATGCCAAAATTTCACCTTCGTTCGATTACAGTTATAGTGTATTCCGAACAAATGTTCTTCATAAAAACGCTTTATAATGCATTTATACAAATTAAATGAAACATATTATTGTGTATTTTTTTAAGTTAACATAAATAAAAATTTTTAAATATTATTTCTACGCGTATATAATAAAATATGTCTAGTGGCTGTAATGCCAGTGTACTCGGCAAAGTGATTCTAAAAAAGAACACACCTATCGCCTAAATATTTCGTGTTGGTATCATGTGACGTCACGGGCTATGACGCCGATGACGTGCATCGGTATATAAATTAGATGAAGTGTACGTACGGTCGGCATTGGAAATTTGCATGGGAGCGAATCTGTGAAACCATTACATATGTAAGATAATGAGTAAGAGAGAGACATAAGATATATTTTTTCTCTTCCTCTCTCGAGAACAAAAATGTTCTTTTTTATATATATTTAATATTATATATAATTATATATATATATATATATATATATATATATATATATATATATATATATAATATAATATAATATGTATTAATATTATTATTTATGTGATATGTTTATGTATTATTTATTAAACGTTTATAATTGTTTTATGCTTTTGTATTTTTCAAAATAATCACTGTTTCACCGAGAACTGTCAATTTTGAAATCCGTTAGTGTCGTGTCTAATTATCAAATCCTTTACGTCTTTGGTTCATACGCTGGTGTTTGTGAGTTAGAATCCCAATTATGAATTTCCTTTTGTATTTTTGAAATATTTAAAAACCTCACGTTAATCTTATTAAATATAAGTAATATACGCAAAAATGCTAAATTTTAAAATAAAATGAAAATTTTAATAATGCGAGTTGTTGATTTTTTATTTTTATCTTCGTAAAATAAGTTATGTATATTGGCAGTTTTAAATACTTCCGAATATTACATTTTAATTTATATTGTATTATTATATTGAATTATGTTGCAGTGTATTTATTGTATTGTAATTTTTATATTAATGACAAAATAAACAATGAATTTTACTGCAGAGTATGTGTAAAAAAATGTTTTGCATCAACTCCTTTTATACATATATGAAAATAAAAATATATATTTTCATTAAAATATTGATACAATCCTTCATTTACTATACTCCTATTACAGGTTAAAATGTTTATATACAGCAAACGATGCACCATATATCTATATAACTAATTCTTTTTCTCTTTCTGCTCTCTCTTACCTATAGCATTACATATGTAATGATTGTGCAGATTGACTCCCATATAAATTTGTAACGGCGAACGCGTATATAGAAGTATAACTTCTACCGGCAGTCCCACTGGACTGCCACACCCGTTTTTTTAATGAACCATATTGTAATCTTAGGGCTATATAAAGATACAAGATTACAACAGGATACGTAACTTTATATTGAAATAAAGCTACCCAAGAGCGATTCTCCGCACGAAAACAGTTTAATCAATTTGCAAACTATTCAAAGAATCGTACAAATGTATCCATGGATATTCATTAAATATTTTGAATTTACAAATCCTGTTTTAGTACCAAGCAATACTCTGTTCGGTGGTCAGTTTATACGTCAATACAGATAACAAGATTAAAGAATTAAAACAAAAGGATGTTTCAAGCAGTTTTGTTGACGAATGGCAAGATGTTCTGGTGGAAAGTATACATTCCGATTTATTACAAACGTGGCTGTATCTCGCTGGTAAGTAATATTGTAAATAATTAACCCATTAATGCCCAAAATTTTAATAGCATTGTGTAAGATTAATTTTTTTTTATCTGTAACTGTCTTTGATGTACGATATATCATACGCTGGGCAATGAAGGAAGGACACAATATTTTATCAAACATTAATTTATATTTTGAAAGTTTTTTGCAATTGGTGATATTTAACGAAATATTGATCGAGATGAAGTCCTACATTACATTTAAGCACCGATATTTTGTGCACATCTCAATAAATGGTCATAAACTAAACAACCTACGTTTCGCAGATGACACAGCCCTTCTTGCAAATAGTCAAGCAGAGCTGATAGAACTTATACGACTGATCGAAAACGAAAGTCAAATATTTGGTCTGCAATTAAACATATCAAAGACAAAGATCATGATAGTGGATAGACTACACAACAATCATCGACACATAACCACAATTGACCGGTTCGAGGTTGTGAGCTCATACTTATATCTGGGATCATTAATCACAAACACAGGGTCATTACAAGAAGAGATTAAACGTAGATGTGATCTAGCAAAAGTTGCCACAGCAAAAATGACGAAAATATGGAAGGACTGTCAAATTTCAAGAGCGATAAAGATGAGGTTGATCAACTGCTTAATATTCCCAATACTGATCTACGGATGTGAATCTTGGACTCTGAGACAATCGGAGAGAAGAAAGATAGACGCCACTGAAATGTTTTGTTGGAGACGAATGTTACGAATTCCTTGGGCCGACCGCAGAACAAATAATTCAATTTTAAGAGAGCTAAAAGTTAGCCAACGACTCTCTAGTAAAGTCCATCTCCAACAATTAAAATATTTTGGGCATGTTATGAGAGCAAACACAGAAAACATGGAAAGACTCATAATACATAAGGAAAGGTAGAAGGCCGAAGATCACGAGGAAGATCCCCAACAAGATGGATAGATCAAATTACAGGAATATGCCAAAGACCTATGCATGAATTAAAAGAAATGACCAGAGACAGAGATCTCTGGAGACGGACAATACACGACATCACGTCGACCACTACACTCCCCCTGGGGGGTCAGGATTGAAGAGAGAGATTTTGTGCACTTCCCACATTTGCCGGGCCTTCGTTGTTTTTCAATTTTATCCACCAAATAATGCACATTATCCAAACAAATTTCCTCAGCAACATGTTTTAAAGATTTTGGACAATTGACCAGTAAAATTCTAATAAAGAAATTGTCTCAATGTTGAGGTGTTGACTATTGTCCAATTCAAGCAAAATTTGAATATCGCCCAATACCGCACCCAATACAATTTTTAAATCGAATTCTACTGCTATACAAATCTTTTAGCTTATCGAATCATTTACATAACGTTTGATTGGAGAACCACTATAATTTTTCTATCTTTTATGGACCATCTGTTACAGCTTTCTATAGTACATATTTCTGAAATTGAAATATTAGTTGCCATTGTAACTTCATTATTATCATTCTAGCGAACAAGAGTGAGCTTACGTTCTTCGCTATGTAGAGCGTGGGAAATTCCACGATTTTTTGTATTTCTTCTAGCGGGGCTCTTTCATTCCTGTCTTTTCTAATTGTGCTGATACAGTGTATCTTTTAATTCCTCAACCTTGTCAGTAAAGGTAAAGATGTAAAAAAATATCAATGTAGATAATTATGTAGGTAAAATGCGTATAAACAGTTTTTCTGCTACGGAACTTCCTAACAAGTTACCCTGTAATTTATCCCCACTTCCAGTGTAGGGATGAAATTTTACAAGGTAACCTTTACTAGTCGCAATGCATCAGAATTTATCCGTAACGCACGGATTTTTCCCGACTAAACTGCTTCGTTGAATGATGTCCATAACACGATACGGCTCCTTCCCTTTGTCCACTAAAACTTCTGTTCACTGGCTGGAGGTAATTATGAAAACGTTCAATTAGATGGTAATTAGGGGTTGTAGGTAGGGGTAGGTAGATATGAGTGAGAGTCCCCTTGACATTCCCTATACGTTCTCCTAGAAGGCAATGGGTGGTATCCAGAGAGAATAAGGATGCCAAAGTATTTCTATAAATTATATACAAAGTGAAAGGGCAGGATTTTTGTGAAGCGTATTTTACCGGTCCTTTACAAAAATATTTCATGAATTTTTCATCAAAAAATAATTTAAACACATCGATTGGCTTCAAATTTTGTTTTTTCCATTCATTTACTACATAGGGGTCCGTATCGTTTTTGAAAATGTCATTTAGGGCTGCTTTTTTCGGTTTTTTTCTTTCCACTTACGATCGATTTTTTCTGCTTTCAGAATTTTGTCAAATCTCTGCAACCTCTCTTTTCCTTTTGTTACCTGATTCGTGAGTTTCAGTCAGAGTTTTCTTTCATATCACGGTTTTCTTAATTGCGGTATTTTTTCGAGAAATAGCTGTAATATACATGCGTTGAGACAGTATATCTTGGCCAATACTTTGAAAAGTGTAATTGAATTGGCCTTTGGCTAATGTAACGTGAGGTAAACTTCATTACACTGGTCGGTTTTCTGAGCCAAAGTATCGTCATCTTCTAAACTTTCATATTTTTTTAACAATTCCTCTGCATGTTTGTGATTGTTAGGATCAATTTTTTTGTCATTTTTTTTATACCGAAACAATGTTGATTAGTTACCTCGAATGCCCAGTGCATTATATATCATACGCAAGAATCAAAGATCTTCAAAATACTCATAAGTATAAATACCAACAATATTTATATCAGTTCAATATTTAGAAGCCTTACTAGTTGCTAGTAACTTTACAAAAGTGTTCTCAACATAAGTAAAAAAACTACAAACTCCCCTAACATGCAACCGGTGCACTATTGGGACCGTGCAAGTTCGGAACAGCGACAGCTGGTGTCGTAAATCAGCAAAATTTACTGCGCTTTCATGTTAGATCGAGGTTACCGGATAACTGTCAAGGACATAGCCCCAAAAAAAGAATATGAAGAAAAAGTAAGATTGAGGTTATGTCGGTATGTTATTAAAAGGTAAACGTTGTATCAAAGAATATAGACGCTTATAGAAGGATCTTTCACTGTTACGTTTGAAAGTTGGCAAAAGATGATCGCACGTTATGAAAAAGAATGAGAGGGTGGATCGAGGTTTTAGTACCAGTAGGAAGCGGTCATGTCGGCGCTATTATCGCTTTTAAAATATGAAAGAGTGGGGCAACAAATGCAACAGATATTTTTATGTAGATGCCGCGTGGCCGTAGAATAGGATTAAATTTTTGCGTCTTATAACATTTTTTAAAGAAAATAATATTTTAACTTTTAATAAATGAATCCTATTAGAAAAAATATCATGATTCAAATTTTTAATTTAAACATGTACAAATCTACAAATAATATACTTAAAACTCTCTTCTTATTAACTATAAATAAAATTAATTCAATCAATAAAGTCATCAATCACCGGAATTAAATATTTCCAAATTTTCTAAATTTAATAATTTCTTCTTCTTTGTTTTTAATATAAAATAACATAAAATGTAAAACACAACACTGTTTTTCTGCAGAATAATGGAAAATTGTCTAAAAAGTGGAAAATTAAATTTTTGGTTGAAAAATCTTGAAATTTTTAAAAAATATTTCGTTAATTTTTGGGCAGAAAAACAGTATAATAAAAATTTATGTGGCGGTTTTTCGTTGTGTTGGAACAAACCTATTTTTAATTCAAAGTTATAAACTGTAAAAAATAAATGCTTTGAATATTGTAAATATCACACCTTTTTAAATTTCAAAATTAAAAATTTAATGTGTTAAAAATAAAGATTTTATTGTGCAGAAACAAAAAAAAGCATGGGCATTTTTTTAATCGTAGATGCAAAATTAAATAAATAGCTCCGTTCGTATTCCTTTCCCACTTTCCCCTAACTACATCTTTTATGATAGTTTTAAGCGGACTGACTTCCAGATGTGTTTTAAAGTATAAACCGTAACCAAATCGCCCATTTGAACTGTTCTTCTATAAGCGTCTATATTCTTTGGTTGTATGTAGTATAAATACAAATAAATATATTATTAAATTACAGCATTACTGTTAATATGAATGCAATAATAAAAACTGGATTTGAGAAAGTAAATCACCAAATAACTTTTCAACCAAGCACTGAGTCAAAGGGAAAAGCTTTAGTAGTGGCAAATGTCAAAAAAGAATGGAAGAATTATGTGGAAGAATTAAGAAAAATAAATTACCATAAATAATGCTAATGCATAAATGCATAAATTAGAAGGTTAAGCCCATGATATCATCATATTGGTTTGAAAAATTAATTCTTTCCCTGTAAACTATTGGACAGCGCATATATCTTAATGCATCTTCAGAAAAACTTGAACTTGATGCATTTTTGAAAACTTCAAGAAAAATAAAATTTAAACATTAAACTTGATTTTTGGTTTAAAATGAACTCGTAAGTGAGTATTATGAAACTAAAATTTACACTTAAAAGTGAACTTTTATTTATTATTTATTTCAAACTGACTTTAAAATCGGGCGCAAGAATAATGCATAATTTAGGTTATGTTACTTATGCTTTTTTATAATATAAATCCACTTTTCTTTTTGTAGTAATTTGTGCTTCGAAGTTGGAAACGAATAAAACAAAAATTGTAAAATATAACAAAAAAATTGTCAATTTAAAACACAGCATTTCCTAAATCCCATTTTCTTCAGTGAAAGAAGGTGTAAATAAACAAACGAATATGAAATATGACAATTGACAATATGAATTTATGAAATCTATGAAATGTGCAGTAAAAAATGCAAGATTTCTCCGCTACTCGCGCACGATCGTTTCTCGTATTTAGTATTTTCACGTCGCCAATAATATAATCTAAGAAAGCTTAGCACAAAACTAATCACGCTTTACCACCAAACGGTTATAATTTTCAACGATATAATATACTAAGGATGTAACCTATAAATACTTTCGCCCAAAGTAGTTAGTAACAATGACCGACTCTTGTCATTGGTGGACGAAAAAAAATCTTTTGATACATATTATATACAGTAAATATTTATTTTCAATTTTTTTTTTATTTCAAATCCTTTATAAAAGGTATATAATAAAATACCCAAACGGGCTATATCACAATTACATTACAGAACGTTTTCGGAATGTAAATTCCATCATCAGTGTAACGAAGTATACATGCTATGAGCCACTAAAATATATTAGTAAAAACTCGGTAAATGTTGTTAATTTAAAGTTTTGTTACATTATGTATTATTAAAAATTAAGATGTTCAAGTTACCGTTGGAATTGCTAACATGGCGACGTATGACTCTACATAGGTTATATGGTCCTGAGACAAAGGGTCTTCGAGGACCTGTTGTTAACAACAGTACCGCTTCCTGATCCACTTTTTTTTGATTGGTCGATTTAATCTAACCATCTGATTTTATTGGTATGTTTTCATTTTTGTATTCTACATTATATTTTAAATTTGTAGATAAGTTTAAAGACAAGAAGGATATTATGAAATATATACCCCTGATACAAGAATTATCGAAGCTCCTTGATAACATAAACTGTGATACAATATTTAAACTAAGTGAATCGACCTTACCAAAATGGACAAAATTCTTAAAACAAGGTTGTGTCTTGTTGGTAAACTCGCAACCGAACTTGCAATCGTGGGGATATAAAATATTGTTAGTTTTGGTACCTGGTTTGGTCAAAATTGATAATGAAGCTGTTATTACCAATACACCGCATCACAATGGCCTGATTTTCGAACAGTTTAAGGAAAAATTGGTCGAAACGCACGAAATTATTAATAGCATGCTGATGGGTTTCAAGTAAGTATTGATATTTTTCTGAAGCTGTTTTCTTGTAGCATTTTAAAGTAACTACTATTTAAATGGGAATAAGAAACAATTAAAGTTTAAAGTATGTTTATTGACATTTCAATTTCCACTTCGGAAATCGTTCTCAAAATACAATCATTAGTGAGTATTGGTGTAAATAATTTGTAACCTCTTAATCTAATCTAAAACTTGATTATATCACAGTAAAAAACTGACAAGAGCACAGTGGCGGCCGGTCAGGGTCGGCAGTGCCGACCCACATCTTTATAGATATTATAGATTATTTTAATATTTAATTTAATCAGTTGATGTCAATTTTATTGATGGCTTTTAAAAGAATTCGACCAGACTAAATTGTATTCATGGTTTTTAAAACAATTCGTCCAATCTGAGCGTTAAATGATCCTTGCGTAGACACTTTTCAAATAAATGTTCCGATATCGGAGACATCCATCCGCCTATGAATTCTTAAAAAGGCACGTTTTGTTTTTTCGGCTAGCTGATCCCAACCTTGACTTTACTTGTAAAAAATCAACGGAATATTGGTTGATTAGCAACCAAATATACATTTCTTTCCATATGAACTTAATTACTAAGTCCGGCAAATTTAAATTTGCCGATGTTTCATTTGGATTGGTGATTGGTCGCGAACTGTACATTGCGAGCGTGGGACGAAATGTTATTTCATTTTCATATAAATATGTAGTAAACTGAAGTGATGTTCAGTGCACGAACTAGCCTATCTTTTTGTGATTTATTTTTATTTTCTAAAGTAATACTGTGATACGTTACGTCTGCCGTAAATAGTTAACGGTTAAAGGGTTTTTTGACATATTAGAAGTTTTTTTTTTAATTAAAGTGTAAACAAATTCAGTAAACACCTAAAAAATGCAAGCCATGGGAGAAACTGTAAGTATTGATAAGTCTGATATTGTAAATTATATTTTGCATAATGGGTTTTCATCAATTCCATACGAAGAACAAATTGTTATTAAAAAGAAGGGGCGTCCTTTGCCTAAAATGTCCCGACTTATAAATATTAGTGCGGGTATGGGAAGTAATAGATCATTTTCAGATAATTGGTACAGCAAGTACTCATGGCTTACTGGGAGTGAAATAAAAAACTTTTTTGTTGGCCTTGCATTTTAGTTTCGACAAATAGGGGCAAACATCAAAATCCGTGGTGTGAATCTGGTTACGATAATTTAAAGGAATTATTTAGGGCTTTACATAAACATGTTATTTCGAAAGATCATACTTACAGCCAGATTAAATTAGATTTATTTGGAAAACAAAATATCCATGTTTCATTAGATAATGCCCAACGTGAAAATGCTATTAAACATAACGAAATTGTAAAAAATAATCACACAGTTTTATGTCGTTTAATTGATATTGTAATTTTTTAAGTTGTCAGGAATTATCTTTTAGGGGACACGATGAATCGGAGCATTCGTTAAATCAAGGTAATTATAGAGAACTAATAAAAATGTTTAATAAATACGATTTGGAATTTTCTAATTTACTTTCTGATTCGAAGACATTTAGCGGTGTATCTAAAACAATCCAGAATGAATTAAAAGAATCAATTAGTTACATTTTGAGTAACATTATTGAATCTGAGATTCAGGAAACCATTTGCTTTTCACTAGAAGTAGATGAAACTACCGACATATCATGTCATTCACAATTATCAATTGTTACGTTACGTCTTAATATCTATGAGAAGTTTTTAGGTTTTACAGACGTGAGTAAAAGCCATAAGGCAGAACATATTTTTGGTGTTTTAAATGACAAATTAAAATTTTTTGATATCAAAAATAAATTGGTAGGGCAAACTTATGACGGCGCTGCCGTGATGTCTGGTGAATTAAATGGTCTCCAGGCAAAAGTTAAAACTATTGCACCGCAAGCTTTATTTACTCATTGTCATGCGCATAGAATGCATTTAGTTTTGCAAGATACATGTAAAAAAATTAAAGAATGTCGTCTTTTTTTGCCAGTTTAAGCGGATTTGCTTCATTTTTCTCAATCTTGCCTAAACGGACTAATGTTTTAGAACGGTTTGTTTCGAAAAAAATGCCAACAGTTTGTCAGACTCGATGGAATTTTAAATCTCGGTTAGTTTTCACTGTAGCAGATTTTCGTGAACAGCTTTTGAAAGTTTTTGATTTTATTCTTGAATGTGACGATTTTCAAAGTGATGATATCTCGATCCATAAAGCAATCGGTTTGAAAACTTTATTAAATGATTACTCTTTTAACATACTTTTAAATATTTTTAAGAAAGTGTTTACCCAAACCGATTTGATATTCAATGTTGTTCAAAATCAGTTAACTGACATTATTCATTACAAAAATAGAATAACAAGACTGGTGCAAAATCTCAGTCAGATTTTCGTAATGATAGTAATTTCCAGTTTATACGCAGTGACGTTTTGGACTCGCTTGATATTTCCGAACCCCGCAAAAAAAGATAAAGGCATGACAAAGAAACAAATCTCGAAAAACAAGTATATTTTGAAATTTTGGATACTATTATTATGCAAATAGATACTCGTTTTTCGAATTTTGAAGATTTGCAAATCTTTGACCTCTTTGACAATTCAAAATTTAAAAGTTACGCCAAAGAATTTCCAAGATATTTATTAGTCAGGTTGATTAAAAATTATCCATCATTCTTTAATAAAATAAAATTAGAAAATGAATTAAAAGTTTTATATGCTGATCCAAATATTTTCGGAAGATGGGATAAGTTACAAGATATGTATAATTTTATATATTGCAATTCATTACAACAAACTGTTACCGAAAGTAATAAATTATTTATTGAGAAATTATAAAGTTCTTGAACAAAAATGGAGATTTGATGAACAAAATGAAACACGTGTTTACTCTATGACTGTAATTTTTCTACTACCCTAAAAAAGGAAAGTGATACATTATTCAACTAGTAAAGTAGCCAATAGATTACACTGCTAGAAAATATTCAAATTTATTTATCTATATCCAACATTATTGTCATTAATTCTCTCATTACCACCAACGTCTGCCTCAAATGAACGAGATTTCTCTTGCCTCAAAAGAATCAAAAATTATTGTCGAAATACCATGAAACAAGAGAGAATGTCAAGCTTGTCTCAAATTTCAATAGAAAAAAAAACTTTTAAAATCTCTTTAAAACTCTAATAAATTTTACGATGACGTTATTACCCATTTTGCTACTTCCAAACAACGTAGACTAGAGTTAATTTATAAACATGTTTAGGTTCTAAATTTAAAGAAAAAACAAAAAAAAAAACAAAAAAAAACAAGAAAACAAAAAATCTCCTATGATGATTGAAGTCTTTATTGGACGGTATACCTATCTGTGGAGACAAAAAAATACCTTGCCGACCTTGTCTCTCAAGCCACGAACAGCCACTGCAAGAGCAACAGGGTAATAATATTAACTTACCAGCTCTACTTAATAAGTATTTCTGTATTCAGAAACTCATTGTCATTCGGGTGATACCGATATTAATTTTCTTTATACACACATTTAGCACATAGATATTGACTACGCATCTCCCGGCAAGTCTCCTTTAGTATTTCCTTCTTACTCGTTGCAAGAACTTGCAACTCAGCTGAACATTAGCCTCTTCCTCGTGTTTCCAACCCCATCTAGCTTGCGCCTCTCTTATCCAGCGTTTATTTAGCCTTTTTAAATCGTCAGTCCATCGTGTAGATGGTCGACCGATGCTGCTCTTGTCTTTCCTTGGTCTCCATTCTTGGTTTATTGCTTATCTCTCATTTTAGCTATATCCTTTCGATGACGTCAGTCACCTTGGTTCTTCTCCTAATCTTTTCGTTTTTTATTTTGTCGCTCAGATTTATTCCTAACATGAATCGCTCCATTCTTCTTTGTATGACACTCAGTTTGGTATTCGAGGCTACTGTGTTAAGGTAAGTGTTTCCATTCTGTATGTCAAAACTAAGAGGATGCCCTGCCAATCATAATTTCATGTCCTAGGTATTTATATTTATCTACGAATCCTATTTCTTGCCCGCCAATACTGATGTTCTGGTTGGGTTCAAAAGGTCCAAATTTGTCATTACTTTTGTTTTCGAGATGTTTACATTTAAACCTACATTTTCTGTAGCCACAACGAGTTCCTGTAACATCTCTCTTGCCATTCCTAGATCCTCAGCTATTATGACTATATAAAGTTTATTTACGTCTTTAAATAATCCTTTTTCAAATCATGAATGTGTTGCTTGTGTGAGTCCATATCAAATAGGTAAAGAAATAATAATAAGACTTACTCACAATCAATTTAATTTAACAATCAGACGACCGGTTTCGCTTTCTACAATATGCAAAGCATCTTCAGGTCTAGATACAAAGTTAAACTAATGCTGCAATAAAATAAACCCAATTAGGGTGGTGTCTAATAAAGATAAAATAAACAAATAAGTTAGTTCATACAAATTATAGTAATTATGCCAATATTACATGTCTGTGGTTTTCAAAATGAATAAATTTGAATATATAAAAGGTATTAACAGACAAGGTAAGACCCACAATGGGTATAAAGTAGTAGTATTATATTGTAATAAATTAATAAATGAGCAGATAAATAAAACAAAACAAACATTACTTACATGCCGGTACTCTATTAATTGATGGATGGTAGGTCATGGTTGCAAAAATCATGTATTGTTGATTGGAGAACTTTAATGTGCTGTTGCAGTTGTTTTGACAATAAACGGGAAGTTCTTGAGGAGAACAGATTTGATCCAATGAATTAGAGATAGGTATATTGTGGTTGTTTGTCAAATGAAAGTGATGTTCTTTACTATTGTATTATTTAAATTATTTACACTTATATCAGAGATATATTTTTGGAATGTGTGTTATTTATTGAGCATAACACACATTCAATACATAACACACATTCCAAAAATATATCTCTGATATAAGTGTAAATAATTTAAATAATACAATAGTAAAGAACATCACTTTCATTTGACAAACAACCACAATATACCTATCTCTAATTCATTGGATCAAATCTGTTCTCCTCAAGAACTTCCCGTTTATTGTCAAAACAACTGCAACAGCACATTAAAGTTCTCCAATCAACAATACATGATTTTTGCAACCATGACCTACCATCCATCAATTAATAGAGTACCGGCATGTAAGTAATGTTTGTTTTGTTTTATTTATCTGCTCATTTATTATTTTATTACAATATAATATTACTACTTTATACCAATTGTGGGTCTTACCTTGTCTGTTAATACCTTTTATATATTCAAATTTATTCATTTTGAAAACCACAGACATGTAATATTGGCATAATTACTATAATGTGTATGAACTAACTTATTTGTTTATTTTATCTTTATTAGACACCACCCTAATTGGGTTTATTTTATTGCAGCATTAGTTTAACTTTGTATCTAGACCTGAAGATGCTTTGCATATTGTAGAAAGCGAAACCGGTCGTCTGATTGTTAAATTAAATTGATTGTGAGTAAGTCTTATTATTATTTCTTTACCTATTTAATCCTTTTTCGTTTGTTAAGAAATAGTCGATTTCGTTCCTCGTGTTTTCATTAGGGATTTCCCATGTTCATCTTATGTATTTTTTCTTTTGAAAGGAGCTGTTCATTTGATAGAGATTGTTTTTCAAGAGGAAAGTTGTTTGCCTCTATCATTTATGCCTTTGGTTCCAAAATTCTCCAATATTATTTCAGAGGGGTCTTTCTTAGTGCCTATTTTGGCGTTGAAATTGTCACTTATTATTAAAAAGTGAACAAGACGTTTCTCGATATCCTGTGCAATATTTAATCGTAGAATATTTGGACTTCTTCGTCTGGATGTCCTGTAGTAGGGGCGTACACTTCAATGATCTTTAGGATATATCTTGCGCTTATATTGACGTTTAAGTAGACCACCCACGTTTAGATTTGGTTTATTGACACAAGGCTGTTGTCTTTTTTTGGAAGAAAAAAACTGACGCCTCAGACTGTCGATTTCTTTTCTCCTTTGTAGTGATATAAATAGCCTGATAAGGTTGTGATAAAATTCTCTCCATTTTTTCTAACTTAATTTATACTCACAATATCCTAATTTAATTTTTTGAGAGTTCTTCCTCCATTTCTTCGAATCTTTTATCGGCAGAGAGTGACCGAGCATTATATGTAGCGATGTTGAGGTTTATCTTTTTAACGCACTTTGAGTAGAGTAAGTTTACAGTGGTCGGATTTTTGGTAATTAAACACCATGCTTGCATTGCATGTTGGTGAGTATTCATATTTTTTTATTCCTACCCATTTACACATCGGTAATTCACCTGTACATTATTTAACCGTTTCTAAACCTTTCACATCCAATCAACTTGGATGAGTAAAAAAGAGGACCAGAAGTTGGGTTTATACCTAGACTAGAATACGGCACATAAGTTGAAGATAAGCTGATCTGTTTATATCTAGTTAAACACCAAAGCAGATAAATATAAGTAAATATCATAAACGACATATTTGACATGCAAATGTCTGTGTTAAGCAGCTTATTATCATCATCTTAGGAGAATATTCAACCAGGCTCTAAGTAAGTGAGCTCTAAGCTCAAGTGGCTAGTATCTTAAGTATCTCAATAATTAGTTTATAAAAGAAAAATATAATATGTTTAAGTATTTTATTTCATATTTTTAGGTTGGGTGAAGATAGTTGCAGAGTTGAACCGATGACAGATTCGTATACTTATTCTCTGGCATATCTACTTCTTTGGGATGTTCTTTTGACGCTGTGTGACAGTGCTAGCACTGAACTTCGTTTCCAGTATGCGGATTGGCTCAGGTAATTACAATTAACACAGAAGAAGTAAACGCCTTCGTAATAAATGTGAGGGATTTTTAATAATATATTCAAAAATTCAGAATGTATCTTCTGAGTCAATTAAAAATAAATCAGCGACAATAAAACCGTTTAAAATGGAAAATAATTGTTATAAAACAATAGCAGTATCTCAAACTTAAAAGAAAACACAATTTTTTAGTATCTTTGCGCTCGAATGTTTTATTTTATTTTTAAGAAATTATAGTATTTATTAAGATTAGATTTGCTTCTATTGTACTATGTTTATTATTTCCTGAACGTGAATTTAAAATAATATTTTTGTCTGAATTTCCTTGCATAGTCCTTACAGTAAGAATCCTGGCCTATACATGCGGGTGTGCGGTAATGCTGCACTTTAGTTGCATTGGTGGTTTGTTGGCTAAATCGTGCATGATATGATGCTGATAGAAAAGGCATTTAGGCATCAAATGTTCGAAAATCTTTTCAGGGCATAAAAATGAAGAGATCTTCTCCAGTGTAATTTAATAATAAAAATTATACTGAAATGATTTCATCTTCTGAGGTAAAAGGTTCCGGAGCAAACTTAGCCTCCGTTGGGATTTCCGGGTGAGGACTATTTCAGAGGGGGGGGAACATCATTACAGGTTAGAAAAATTAGGATAGGGTCTCTTGGAATCTTCGAACTCTTACAGGTAACAGTGTTGAGGTATATGCACATAAAAGAGAATACATTGCTTTCACTCAAGAGAATACATTGAAAGGACAGAGGGCGACAGAAGTAAGAGAATGATACAAGTTGTGGTATGTAGGGAAAAGTAACACTAGGAATGGAGTTGGTATAATAAATGATACTGAAATAAAAGATAACGTAGTAGAAGTTGTAAGGGCGAGTGATAGAATAATGTCAGTGAAATCTGTAATTGAGAAATGAGTATTGGGTGTTGAATTAACCGCGGCGGTATTTTACAAGTACCATCACTTTAACAGGGTATAACTTTTTACTCCTCCGTACATACCATCTATAAAATGGATCTACAAATTTAGAATTTCGTTTATAATCTGTTCAATATTCAGCTCTTATGGAAACAATGCAAATATGATTTAAAAAAAAACGCTATCTTGTTTCCTATTGGTTATAGGTTTTGTCTTTTTTTTTGAAAGTGTGTTTTTTACCAGTTTTTCATTGAGTCTATGTCAACTGTTTTTTAATAACAAATTTAATGAAATCTTTTATATACCTTAAATCTGAACCCTTATAGAATAGTTTAAATAATTGCTGTCCATAATAAACAAATTGAATAGCTAAAAGCAAAGTTATTAACATTATTAAATTACTCTAATATTAAGGGTTTTTTGCAACTATCTTGGTGATGATTTTATGGATTTTTACTTGAACTATTTAGCTCTAAACTGCGTTTAATAGGAAACAATGATTTTTTAACATTGTTTAAAACAAAAACAAAGCAAAATTGGCTGTACGTCTTTACGGTCTTTTTATCAGCTATCTCTCACATAACTTTTAGAATTTAGAACCTTCAAATATCTGTAAGATTTTATGTGAAATCAACGATTTTTTCCAAGATAGACTAGTGTAGTATAGTTATGTGTTCCATTTTTTTAGTTCGAATACTCTTCTACACTGATGTACATACATACGAATAAAGTATATTAATCCTCAACATATTTTTAGGAATGAAAATTTATTGAACACTTTTTTAAACAATCTGTTTAAATTAATGCCGACCGAAGTTTTACATTATGGTGAAGGGAAATCGAAATGCATTATGGACAATTTTGTAAAGAAACCTCAAATGAGCGCAAAAGGTTTGTGTTTTAAATATCTATGTATAAAAAGTAAATTTGGTGACAGTTATTACATATATATATATATATATATATATATATATATATATATATATATATATATATATATATATATATATATATATTATCCATTCATTATTCTGTCTATTGAAAGGTTCCACATATAGGTTTCAATTTATATCAAGGCTGCAATAGCGTTTAATAATTTTTCAAAGTGATATAAGGTAATAAGGTTGAATGCTCGAATAAATGAACTTTTATCAAATGAAAGGCAGATATCGAGCACAGTTTATTAATTGAATCGTGCCCAAGTACTTTCGCTCCTAGAGCATCTACAGGGACATCTGAAATAAGCCAAGAAACGTTTTTTCAACTGGAAAAAAATTAATTACCTTCGATAAAAAACTCGAAGTTGATGGTTGATAAAAGTTTTTTATGTAATATAACGTTTTAGACTTACTTCGTCAAATTTGGCCTATCCAACAATCTATTGAGGATGTCATAAACATAAAATTGTACATTAACACTACATGACACAAGGACAAATAGTTTAAAATTAAAAAAAAAACGGCGAAGTTACATATTGGTTGGCATCAAGAGAGAGAATGGCTCCTGATCTTAATGGAAAGGTTAAGGTGACATGTGACATATGTCAACTTGGATGGGCAGTCACAATCATGGTGATGTGATCTGCACATTTCAAAATTCTATGAAACTGAGCATTGACCAAAGGTCTAACTGACGCTACTATAGGAAATCAACTGATGAAATTTGAAATTATATAGATTACTTTAAGTAGATTGCATAATCCAGATCTCACACTTAAACCTGTCTTTAATAATTATTATGGTGTTAGTTTGAGGGCAACTGAAGTGGACGTTGAGTATGAAAAGAAATAGACTAAACAATCTATTAGATAGTGGGAGGCTGACAACAATAAAAGGGTCTACCAATTTACAACTTGTGTATTGATTTCAAACAGGCGGTTGATGGAGTAGATAGAAAAAAAAAAGCTAAAACAACTATCAAAGTTAAGAATACCGAAAAATTTAGTTAAACTTAACAAAATTATGAGATTATAATAAATTATAATACAAATATAGAGGATTGCGGTGTTTTTCTGTAACAAGTAAAACTATTTATACTATGTATTTACAAACCTCCTAAAATATATGTCTCATCCAAAGATTGGAAAAATTTATTTAGCCAAATTAAAGGCGGAGTTTTAATTGGTGACGACTTTATTAGTCATCATTGTAGGAAGGGTTCCGTACAGGAACCCTTTCTACAGTGCACAAGGTTCTAGCTGACGCTTTAGACAATACTAATCTAATTTTACTCAAAGAAATGACTTTGGTGGATTTCAAGACCATAGTGAGAATAGATGCAGTATCTGCTGCTTCCAATCGATTTCAATATATTTAAATAAATTCAAAATAGTTTACAATTGATTCAAAATAGATTCCAATCAAGTCAAATCGATTCCAACCGATTCGATTTTATTAGAATAGATTCCAGTCGATTACAATCGACTCCAATCTATTAAAATCGATTTCAGTTGATTCAAAATAGACTCCAATCGATTTAAATCGATTCCATTTGATTACAATCGATTCACAATAGATTGCAATCGATTCAAATATATTCCACTCGATTCTATACATTCTTTACATTTCTTTAGATGCTTGTGACAGTGAGAAGATTGAACAACTAGTATGCTGGCTTTATTCGTCTACTTTAGCACAACTACCGGCGTTAGTTCGACAATGGTGGACAACATTGGATAGCAAATTAGCACAAGTAGTGGAGAAAGTAACTCAAATATACGTATCTCCTCGTCTTATTACACAAGAATTGAACGATGTAATGACATATCAGAGCAAATTTAAGAATATGGTGGTAAGTACATACTTTTATTTGTTTTAAATTTTTCGTACATTATAACAAACTTCCATTGAAAATAATCTAGAAAATAGAAGTTCGGGGGAAATTTTTTAATTTTTTTTGTAGCGATTAAGCAATAAAACTAGCGGTTCTAATTTATGTAAATGCGTCTAAGTTTACAGTACGATAATATCTTATCAACTAAACTAACCAATATCAGCGCTGCTTATATATACAAGTTATTATGTACTAAAATAATCTGGAATAGTCCACCTCTATTTTCTCTTATATTGACGTCTCGATCTCTCACGCGGTAGATATATCCGGAACATTCCCGAACACACATCATCTCGAGATGCAACCGTTATATGGGCTACGGTAAAATAAGCATGTTCGTTACAGTACTCTTTTCTCAGATATAAGCCTTCCGATAAGCAACTCTATATGTAGGCCCAGGATGGCGGAATCTACAGGACTCTCCAGCTCTGCATGAACCCCGCAAGAAGAAATAACAGTCTACTGACTTTAAAGGGCACGATCTCTTCGAGTTAATGCAGCACACAGTAATTCGTACGCCGGTTTCTCGGAAGATCACTTCAAGCATGCTTCTTCAAATTCTAGATGTCATAACGATTTTCTTCAAATTATTTAGAGCACTCCATATATCCTCGTAGCTTGCCTTGTCTGTATAGACCAGCGGTCGGGAAACTTTTTTAATCATTACCCCAAAACATTTTTGTGTAAGTTGATATTACCCAAGGCAAAAAACAAAAAAGCAAAAAAGGCCTCTTTTTAGCATCATTCATATTATAGCCCCCATGATAGTTTTGAACAGAAAACAATAACTAAAACATAAACTAAACATCATTTATTCAATTTCTATGATACCTAGAAATACATAACATAATAATAGATAACAATAATAAGATATAAAAAATTAAAACCCATTGCGGTACTGTAACAAATTATAATAATAATGGTTTTACTAACAAAAATTAGAATTGAAAAAATTATAAAAAAAGAATAATTGAAAACATTCTTCCTTCACGTTTTGGAGAAATGATGTTGTTTCATGTTCGATGCAATTGCTTCAAAATTGGGACTTTTTGATGTAAGAGTGATTTGAATACAGTCTTCGGCATTTAATCGATTTCTGTTCTTCGTTTTTATGTTCACTAGTATGGAAAAGCCTTGTTCGCACAAATATGTTGTTCCAAATGGCAGCAATTTTTTAACCGCCTCTTCATGTGCAATTTTGAAAACCTTTGCAGCTTTTGATATCCAAAAAGACGACAGATTTGGTTTACTCTCAAATTGAATACGTGCTTCAGTATTAGATCGAAGTTCAAGAATTGCTTCTGCCAAACCTGAAGGTTCTTCTGGTATCATATCAATTTCACATTTAAAAGGATCTACAATCCAACTGACAGTACGTATATCAAGATCTGGAAAGTAATCTGAAAACCGCTTTCTAAGTTTGATAAGATGTCTTACAATTGTATCCTTGATGTCAGCAAAAGTAATATTTTCGCAATCTTCCAAAAACAAAGCTAACCTTGAAAAAGAAGCTATCTTGTTCTGTTCTACTTTCTGACTCCAATATTGCAGCTTTAATCCAAACGCTGACACTATTTCTCTCGCTGAAATGATATTAATATTCTTTCCTTGCAATTCATATATTTATACTCTCAAAAATGTCAGCTAAATATGCGAGATATGCAACCCAGGAAGAGTTTTTAAACTTATCTGCGAGAATATTTTTTTGATCAACCATAAAAATTTCCACTTCAGTTTTGAGAGTCCATACTCGATTTAGTACATTTCCGCGAGAGAGCCACCTTACTTCTGTATAATAAAGTAGGTCCGTATATTCGGCTTCACCGTCCTGACATAATTCACGAAATAGCCGCGTGTTTAGTGCATGTCCCTTGATAAAATTTACAATCTTGATGACATCATGCATGACGGCTTCCAGTGTAGGTTCTAAATATTTGACCATAAGGGCCTGGCGATGTATCATACAGTGAATAACTTCAATATTTGGGTTATTTTTTTTACGAAAGCCGTAATGGAAAAACCATTAATATGGCCCAGCATAGCTGGAGCGTCATCCAAAGATACTGAAATACAGTTTTCCCATTTTAAACTTTGCGCATTGAAGTATTCATTTACTTTAGTGTAGACATCAATTCCACGAGATCTTAACTCGAGAGGAGAACAAAACAGCAATTCCTCTTCAAAATTATCTGCACCTTTGTAGCGAACATATACTATTAGCTGTGAATTGTTACTAAAATCAGTTGTCTCATCAAGCTGAATAGCAAAATATTTAGCCTGTTTTAATGAGAAAATAACTTGTTCCTTCACATCTCTGTCATTTTTACAGCAGCTGGTTTAACCAAATCTTCACCAATAGTGTATGGTTTCTTATTTCGAGCAATCAACCAGGCTACTTCAAAGCTAGCCCTTGATGCTGAACGCTGATCAAATGTATACTATATCTAAATTTGCAAAGTATTCTCGCGGTTTGGAAGACAGGTGTGAATGCAAATGATCTAAATGTTTCTTCAGTTGACTTTTTTTGAAATATTGTGAAGTCAATACCTTCATACATACAATACACTGTGGTTTCATTGTACCATTGTCTTCTATTTGTGTAAAACCGTAATTAAGGAATTCGTCTTGATATTTTCTTTTTCTATTTGCTGCCATCTGAAGGAGACAGAAAATAATAGTTGTAAAATACTTAAATTAAATTTTCAAATTGCGGCTTACCTTGATCGATATATCGATGATTAATGATTGTCAGCAACTAACTATAACTCTCTGACTCGTCAACGTATTTGTATTCTGACTGCACGGCACGGACTGAGCAGGCAGGTAGCCGGGGCTCGGGGCCTTGCCAGAGAACTACGAACGCAGAGAAGCGACACTCCTTTGATCTTGCGTGGGCAAGCCGCCAACGAGTGAAAATGACAGGAAAGCACCTTATTTTTTAATAGTCAGTGGGCATATTACACTATATAAATTCTTAAATAAAATTGAGCATTTATGTTGACTTTCAATAAATATGAAATATTGCACTGAAAAAATAATTACATGCAGGGCCGGCTTTTGTTGACATTCTAAATGGTGTAATTATTTTTGATTTACAAAAGGTTGCAAATACATCGCACAACGCAAAGTAATGGTGAAAATCGTATTGATGGAACCATAGATGAAAATACTTTTTTGTTTATTCTGATGTTGATGAATACAATAATACACCGATATAATTTGTTCGTCGTGGAATTTCCTAATAAATTATCTTTATCCTAATAACCTAAAAAATAATCAAAAAAGTATTACGAATCATTACAAGAGAGCATTAGGAAGATAAAACGAATTTATATTATTGTCATTACACATGATTCGGATATACATAGTAAATCCAGACTTTCAGTTTAAACTAATATTTGGATACAATTTATTTTGTTTACAATAGATTCAGAGTTAATACATACGATTTTTAGTTGATTGGTATTGCCTTTAAAATTATTTGTAGTATCTAGTTTGCCTAAGCCGGATTTGTAACAATTATTTCTGGTTTTGTTGTTAACTGCGGTTAGTACAATTCTTATACTTGAAGTCAAAACGACGAACCATTGAACCTTCAGGCCAGATACTGGGATTGAGAACTTCATTTTTATAATCCAATGGATATGAAACTTTAAAGTTTGCTTGGTACTCCGTAACCTTTAACTTCTTGAAGTAAAAATGTATATTTGGAGCATTTACCTTTAAATTATTGGTCAAATCTTCCGTTATCTGTTGTGGAATTATATAACGGTGTAAATAAATAATGATTGATTGGAGTAAGATTTATGTCTGTTTACTCTTAATATTGGCTATGGGCATATGTGCTTGGTTGTAAATATAGTAATTGTCATCCAGTTCTAGTCTGTTAAAATTTAACTAACTTTCGCAATAAAATAATTACTAAAATACTAGATAGTTGTGTCTGAGATTAGCGAATCGACTATACATACACTACATACATTCAGTATCATTGTATATCCAAGATGGACGCCGCTACACAATAGCGGATTACTTATTTTTTCACAACTACTTCAATATGGGTATCAAATGAAAGGGTTTGACTAGTAGAAAAGAGTTTTTTGTATTTATAAATAATACTTCATTACTTACAACTATAAGAGTATTAGTATATTCTAAGTGTATTGTAAGTAATGAAGTATTTAACTTTTGTCAATATCTCATCTTAATAAATTTACAGTTTTCTCCTAATTAAGTCTCAAAATTGTCACTAAATATTGAGATATACAATAAATAAAGTTTTAATATTTTTTATTTGTAATTCCCATTTAAATATTTATTCCCTAAATATGTTGTGTACTCCGATCCATATATTTGATCTTTGTTATTTATATTTAACGAATTAAACATTGACAGACAACTTTTGTATATAGCAAAAAGTAGATGAGCATTTAGTTTTTTTATAATTTAATGTAAGTTTGTTTGGTGAAAAAGACAGCAAATATTTGAAGTTATGTTAATGTAAGTTTGTTTATTTGCAATCATGTTTTTATTTTGAAGTCTTGTTCTGTTATAATTTTAAGATTTTCCCAATTTTCGATCTAATTATGTTTCCAACAATTTTTAGTTTGAGCATTTTAGGAATTTCTTTGTTTCGTTTAAATCAAATATTCTCGTGTATAAAACCCTCTATATATTTTTATTTCCTAAAAATACTATATTCGTATTGTTGTCTGCGAGCGCTTTCACACCAGTAGGCCAACATCTGTGTTGATTTTTTGACCTGAGCCTTCGGAGACAATAAATTTAATGTGTGTTCGTAGTTCTCTGGTTTTTATTCTGAACTATCCCTTGGCAAACCAAAATTTATTTTTTTATTGCTTCACTTAACGAGAGCTCGGGCGGACACGTCGGTGTCGGCTTACTCAAAGTCAAATTAATACTATTATATAATAACTAATAATAATTACAAAGCAATAGTAATTACCTGTTATTATTCTTAGGAAATCTAAATAAACTTATTCCTTTTCCTGTCACAGATGAACATCCGCGAAACGCACAACAATAACCAGAAGACATTTTAAATACTTATAAATTAAACTTTTAACTATAAACTATAACTATAAACTTATATATTTAACTTATATATTTTAACTATAACTATAAACTTTTAACTACTAAATAATTAGATAAATGGCACTTGTATAGTCGAGAGTTTACCACAGATGCCTACGGACCATCGTAAGCAACTTAAAATTGAAGAAAACGCACGTGTTTTTGACAGTAAAGCACCTTATTTGGGTCATGCGTATACAGAAAAGATACACGAATTCCGGGCCTCGTTCGTATGTTCTCTGGCCTTGCTTTACTGCGCAAAGATATAACTCGAGAACACTCTACTGGTGGGGAGTGCAGTGGCGCACCCAGGGAGGAGTTTTGGGGTTTAAAATTCATCCCAGGGCATATAAAAAATTTACAAAGGATAGTAGGAAAATGTAATTTATCTTTCACAAATAATACAAAAAAAATTTCGGTGCATGCAAAACAGGTTTATAAAAAATCAAATTAAAATATATACTTTTTACTCACAAGTTTCATTTTTACCCCCAAAAATTTCATTTTTACCCCATTTGGGGTATTTTACCCCGGTTCCCCGACCGCTGGTATAGACCTTCCCGGTCGCCATATACAGCAAAGATCGAAGGCCATCTTCTAATCTCAGTATTCTTCCAACTTTAGGCTACTGTTTTTTCAACTCGTCCAAACGACCGAACTTCTTATAGAATACAGACGAGATTTCCTAAATACATATTAATGATAAACAGATAATGACACATATTATTATCAATAATCTTATACTTTAAAACCGATTGCAGTCTTTAATAATTTAAATAAATTTAATATGCAACTAGCTTTGATTAAAACTTTAATATCTGTCAATAAAAAATGATAATCAAATGTATATTTGACTGCAATCTGAACGAATTCCATTGGCTATTATTTCGTTTTATTCTAAAATTAACTTTACAAAAAAAAACAGGAAATTCCATCATTAGGATACTTAATTAATTAATCATAAAAATAATTTATAACAATTTAAATTCTTCAAGAAAACAAAAAATTATCTCTGGCACTTACATTTTGACCTATAAAGTCACGTCTAAAGTCACTGACCTCTAAAGGGAATATGTGTTTCAGAGATTACATCTCTGAAAACAGGTGGCCCTCTAGATGTAGCAAAACGATATGTTTGCCTCTTCGGCAAAAATATTGATAAAAGCCCTCAACATTGACAGAAGGATTTTTCTGTGAATGCTAGCGGCAGAAAAGATTTGCCAGTCTTCTCTTCTTCTGTTTCCTATCCGTTTCGGATGTTGGAAATCATATTGGCAATCATAACCTTGCTCGCTGCGGCTCGAAACAGCTCCGTTGAGGTTTTCTTAAACCATGTTCTTAAATTCCGTAGCCATGATATTCTCCTTCTACCGGGTCCTCGCTTACCTTTGACTTTACCTTGCAATATAGACTGTAGCAGGGAGTAACGGTGCTGATTTCTCATAACGTGTCCCAGATATTGCAATTTTATGCGTTTGATCGTAAACACAATCTCTGGTTCCTTCTTCATTTTTCCTAGAACTTCCTTGTTCGTGATCCTTGCTGTCCATGATATTCTCAGCATTCTTCTATAAAGCCACATCTCAAATGCTTCAAGTTTTTTAATAGTGGTGTCTGTAAGCGTCCATGCCTCCGCCCCGTACAACAACACAGAGAAAACATAGCATCTCAAATGTCTCATTTTTGTATCTAGGGATATGTTGTGACTTCTGAAGATGGCGCTCATTTTGTTAAAGACCGTTCTTGCCTTTCCTATGCGGCACTTTATTTCCTGTACATTGCTGATTTGCCAGTAGGACTCTATAAATATATGAAAAAATGGATCTCTTTCTATAGCAATTAATTAAAACCGAATAGTGAACGACTTGCCACAAAATTGTTTCTCGATCGTAACTTAACTTCAAATGTGCACGTCTGAATGCATATTGATATGATTACTATCAACTGAGAACTAACTTCGGATTTTGGCTTTTTGTAAATTAGACCTAAATTAGTTAATTTTTGGGAAGGGGAGGATGTGTAGTTTGGTTCGAAATATTTGTTCCCATGAGAAAATAATATCGCTTTAACTAAAAACCAATAAAATTTTGGGAGGGATTATGTATAATTAATACTTGAATGGAGTGGTTTAAAAGACAGCATATTCTTTACGAGAACGTACGAATTTTCTAAACCCAAACATAATTTATTACTAAAACATTATTACTAAGTTTAAGGGCCTTTTAAAAACTTATACGTATTCGAAGCGATAAAAATGAATAAACTCAAGACATAGTTAACCATACAGGCAGATAATAAAGAAATTTAGCATGCTACAAAGCAACGCCCTTTGATTTTTTTTTTTTTTCTGTAATCAAACTTATATCATTCTTTACAATTCCAATACCTAATCACAATATAAATATAAACAGGTACTGATTGTTTCTATTATATCGGTTATAGCGTCGAAAATACTCTTGTCACTGTTGCCGCATTTAGCACTCACCTGTAGTACCCTATTCCTAATTGAAAAATGATGCAGTACATTATTAATATAACTTTATTTTACTTTCCAGCTTAAAGTATCGCAGGTGGCAAGAGAAATCACAGCAATATACACTGTAGACGAGATACAAGAAGATTTAGTTATAAGTTTACCTCAAAACTACCCTCTTGGTGGACTGACACTTCAATGTAAAAAACAGATTGCTGGATCGAGTATTAAACAATGGTTGTTACAGTTTAAAAAATGTGTAATACATCAGGTATATATTTTTTACATTTAAAATCTTATAAGTTATTTTTAATTCAAGAAATTTAAATGCAATCACCATAAATGTTGGTATGTTCTGATAAGATTAGTGGGATATAATCAGACGAGTGACTATAAAGGTTTGACAAATGAAAGAGAGAAAGACACTATTGAATGCATCATATGATATGTCAACGATTTTTAAAGTGACACTTTTATAAAATTTGGCTATTGTAAATGCATACTCACTCTGTAAAGCTCACATCTGGCTTGTAAAGGATTATAACTTAAACATAACTTTCTTTAGTTACGCCGTAGTGAGCGTTGAGAGACATTGAGGCAATGTCTTAACAAAATTTTCTCAAGCTGTTTCTTTTAGGTTTTTTAATTCAAATCATGAATGTGTTGCTTGTGTGAGTCCATTTCAAATAGGTAAAGAAATAATAAATAATACTTACTCACAATCAATTTAATTTAACTATCAGACGACCGGTTTCGCTTTCTACAATATGCAAAGCATCCTCAGGTCTCGATACAAAGTTAAACAAATGCTGAAATAATAAAAACCCATATTAGGGTGTTGTCTAATAACGATAAACAAAGTAGGTGTTGTAAATTACAATAATTATGCCAATATTACATGTCTGTGGTTTTATTTAAATGAGTAAGTTGAATAAAAGGTATAAAATTTTTAAAAAGTTTAAACAGACAAGGTAAGGCCCACAAATTGTTATAACATAGTCTCTTCGATTGTAATAAATTAATAAATGGGCAAATAAATAAATAAAATAAACATTACTTACATGCCGGTACTCTATTAATAGATGGATGGTAGAACATGGTTGAAACTACTTTATATTGTTGAATGGAGAACTCAATTCTATTATTGCAGTTGTTTGACAGTAAACGGGAATTCCCGTTCTTCATATTTCCGCGTCATCAGAACTTTCTTCCTCGGAATCAGTAGTGTTTACATCCATACGATCAGTAGTGTTCTCAGGTACTTCATCAGAATCTGAGGCAGAATCGTCATCAGGCACATAATCAGACTCTGAGGCATAAGGTTCTTCCTCGGATTCATTTTCAGAAATATTTGTGAATTTGTCAATTTCTTCTTGAAGCTCTTTTTGTGTTAGAAAACGTCTACGTGCCATAGTAAGTCTGTAAACCAAAAAATACGAATGGGATAAATATAATCTGTTAAAAGGCGGAGCAGACACTTTTTCCTACTAAAATTTATATTATTTACGAGTTCTTGATGCATGTGTTTAGTTAACATCAATTTTTAGGTTATAAACGTGATATGTAGGTTGCATACTACTAGATAATAAGTAAGGAAAGTCTAAAAATACGGATGCGTTCAAATAAAATAGGCGTTGGGAACAAACAGATGCCAGTAGATTTTTTGAAATCCTGCTATTTTGAGTAATTTAAAGAAAATTACCATGGCAACCTATTTATGTATAAAAACATTTAAATAAATTATAAAAAATTTCTTTTTTCAGTTTTTTAATAAATCACAAAATCACTTTTTTAATAATTTGCCGAAAGCTGAAAATTATTCTTATAATTTTTATGTAAAACTCTTAGTTGAAGCGTACATTGCGTATAAAAGAAAAATAAAAGAGCCGAAAACAGCCAATTTTAGCATCTTTCGATGGAACAGTTTTGCCATACATCGCTATATATTTTTGAAGTACCTATAAAAGTAACGGATAAAATATTTTTCAATTAGGTAAAGAAATAATAATAAGACTTACTCACAATCAATTTAATTTAACAATCTGACGACCGGTTTCGCTTTCTACAATTTGCAAAGCATCTTCAGGTCGAGATACAAAGTTAAACTAATGCTGCAATAAAATAAACCCAATTAGGGTGGTGTCTCATAAAGATAAAATAAACAAATAAATTAGTTCATACAAATTATAGTAATTATGCCAATATTACATGTCTGTGGTTTTCAAAATGAATAATTTGAATATATAAAAGGTATTAACAGACAAGGTAAGGTCCACAATTGGTATAAAGTAGCAATCTTATATTGTAATAAATTAATAAATGAGCAAATAAATAAAACAAAACAAACATTACTTACATCCATCAATTAATAGAGTACCGGCATGTAAGTAATGTTTGTTTTGTTTTATTTATTTGCTCATTTATTAATTTATTACAATATAAGATTGCTACTTTATACCAATTGTGGACCTTACCTTGTCTGTTAATACCTTTTATATATTCAAATTATTCATTTTGAAAACCACAGACATGTAATATTGGCATAATTACTATAATTTGTATGAACTAATTTATTTGTTTATTTTATCTTTATGAGACACCACCCTAATTGGGTTTATTTTATTGCAGCATTAGTTTAACTTTGTATCTCGACCTGAAGATGCTTTGCAAATTGTAGAAAGCGAAACCGGTCGTCAGATTGTTAAATTAAATTGATTGTGAGTAAGTCTTATTATTATTTCTTTACCTATTTGATATGGACTCACACAAGCAACACATTCATTATTTTTCAATTATTGGATTAAACAGCATAACGAAGTCCCATTTTTAAGTAGAATGCTCCTGTTAAATTAGTAACATATACATATAAAATACCTCGTATAATACAAAAGTTACGTTATGCTATAGAACTTTCATTGCTGTTGTTAATTTTTAGAATGGGAAAATATGGAATGGTCTCTCTTTGTGGAACAACAATTTAGAAAAGAAGTTTGATGGCGTAGAGGAATGCTATATCTGTTTTGCTGTTCTACACCAAGGAACGTACCAACTGCCGAAGTTATCTTGTCAGACTTGCAAGAAAAAATTCCATTCTGCTTGCTTATATAAGTGGTTCCGAACAAGCTATAAGAGTTCTTGTCCAATTTGTAGAAATTTGTTTTAAGACCAGAATTTTATTTTGACTGTTAATAGAAATTATTGTTTCTAAATATATTTATTTTTCTTGGTTCTTAATATGGATCTAAAAATAAAGGATATATTTTCATGAAATATAAGTTTATTTCATTAACCTTTACAAATTTACTGGCCCCAGTCCGAACGGGTAAATATAGCTCCCAGAGGAAAATATATACAGAAGAAAAAAGTGGTAAATATCTAGTGTAGTTTATTGTTACGTTGATCAAATTTTGACTTCTACAGGAAGTTTGTATACAACCAAAAATCCGTGCTTATAACAAATATTATAGGAGAAGAGGGAGACTTGATCCCACCGTTACATTTTTTCAGATAGCTCCTTTTACAACCAATCTAGAACCTTGATAATTTAGTGGAACATTACAAATTTATCACAGTTTTGGGTATTGTACACCCGAACAATATACTGCTAATAAAAAGCGAGTTTTTGTAGAATTTCGTAACATGGAGAAACTAATCATGTCTCCCCGTACTCCGGGAGACTTGATCCTTGTGTATGGGAGACTTGATTATACCTTTCCAGATTTACGATATTAAAATAAAACCAAAAATTGGATGCTGAAAACTATCTTTACTCAGTCATGACTTATAACAAATAATGTTATTAAAAATATATAACACTTTCTGGCAAAAAACTATACTGAAAAATGATAAAAGAAAAAAAATTATTCTCGAATATTGAACATCCTTAGTGATTTGGGAAAGACAAAACATCCTATGCGCTTACTGTTGCTCCTAAAAGTCGGGCGTGGTAACTTTTTTAAAATTTGGTCACGTGGGACTTCACCCATGTCTTCTTTTTCTGCCCACAAGGTTTTTTCATCCCTTTTTTGGGCAAATTTGATTTTAAAATCCTCGTTCTTTTTTTCCATTATCTGTCCTACGTATCGATGGACTAAGTTTCTTTCGGAGACAGCTGACAATTACCCAATCTTGCACACTCAACTCAAACTCGTCACCTTCTGCTTCCGATTCACATTCACTATCTGTCTCTACTTGCATTTCATCATTAGGATCATATTCAGACTCTGACGATGGTAGTATAATGTCACTGCCCCCCGAACTTGAAGATTCCCTCAAATCCTTAAGTTTTTGTTTAGTTATTCTTTTTAGGGCTCTTATTTTGGCCCTTTGCTCTTTTTCTAATTTTTTCTCTTCTTTAGCCTTAACTTCAGCTTCAAGCGCAAGTTTTTCTGGTGTTGCTGTGAGAATTTTTGTAGTTGCTCGCTTTCTACCCTTTGCTGAAGTCCTGGGCCCGGCTTTAGGGTGGGGTCTAATCATTTCTGGGCTAGTAAACGTGGCAGAAGGGAAAGAATGGTTATTGTGCTCTTTTGATGTTTGTTGTAGCTGTTCATTTTGTGAAGTATCTCCATTTACAGAATGGGATCTAATTATTTGAGGTGTGAAAGTACCAGTAGAAGGCTGATTTTCGTCCTCAATTAGTGTTCGTCGTAGTTGTTGATTATGTGAAATGGATCCACTTGAGGAATGTGGTCTAATAATTTCAGGGGTGGTGAAAGTGCCAATAGAAGTGGAGGGTTGATTATTGTTATCTATGGCTGGTTGTGCAACATCAAACTGGGATAAAGTGGATTTGTTTTCCGGATCTTCGCGATCAGTAACATACGCCGACATAAAATCTTCATCGGTCAAAATATTGGAATTGAAAGGCCATATACCCGTAACTCTGAATCCACTCTCAATATTACGTGGAGTAAAAGCTAGGGGGAAAGCGTAAGCTAAGCATCCTCCGACTTCGTATATTGTAATTGTCCTTCCTGGGTGCACCACCATCCAATCATCACAGGCAGTATTATAAAAACTCTTGAGAGGGCCAAACACACTCGTGTCTAACGCCTGGAGCTTATGCGACGTTTGTGGTGGTATGGTAAGAAGAACTATTCCGTGTGCTTTGGCATACGTTATGGCTTCCAGACTAACGTGGCTATCGTGATTGTCCATTATGATTAAAGATTTATTGTCGGTAGTCGCCTTTACATGTTTTTGACAATGTTCCAAAAATTTGACGAAATTAGAAGCGGTCATCCATCCACTTTCATAAACTACGCCGGTGGTCCCTGGTGGGCTATGATCAATCATGCGATCTTGCCAAAGTTTTCGAGGAAAAACCAAAAAAGGCGGTATATGATTTCCAATTGCGTTGATTGCACCACAAAGAGTTACTGTTGGTCCACGTTCTCCTGACGTAATTTTACCAACCTGTTTTGCACCTTTGCATGCAATAATCTTCTTTGGCTTATGGACAGTTGAAAGGCCAGTTTCGTCTATGCTCCAAATTGCTTCTGGTCCAATTCCATTGCTTTCAAGAACTGTCTTTAAATTTATGAAAAATTTTGATACATTGTTTCTGTTGAAGCTAGTTGCTCTAGTAAGACTGGTTGCTTCCGGAGATCGTAGTGATAAGGTCTTCATCCTCTTCAGAAATCCGTATAACCAGTCGTAACTGGCTTGCTTATGTTTATTCCACGAAGCAGGTATTTTTTTATTATTTCTTACGGCAAACTCGTATGCTAGTTCTTTTGCTTGTTTGGTTGTAAGGCCATGGTGTAATTTGCTGGCAAAAGCTAAATAATCTTTAAACATATTTTCCTCTGCATTTGTAAAAATTTGAGCCTTCTTGTAATCAGAATAATAGGTTATTTCAACATTTTCAGATCGTTGTCGGCGAACGTATCTTTTTAATGTCATAACATTTATTTGATAACGACTTGCCGTTCCCTTGAAAGACGTTCTGTTATTAATAACGTCTAATACAGCTTCTTTTAACTTCTGGCTGTCGACTGGTGTTCTTTTCTTTGCTTCTTCCCTCCTTTTGTATTGACGTGGCATATCTATAAAATAAAAAACACTCATCTATAAGGAGTTTCTGGGAGACTTGATCCCGGGATCACATCTCCCAGATAAGATGTAATCAAGTCTCCCCCAAGACGCCATTTGAATATTTTTGTCTATAAAAATATGACGACAAACTAGAACTCATTGCAAAATGTGCAAAACGTAAACTGAATGATTATAGTGTTAAATAAAATTTATACGAAAAACTCACCTTAACGAATATTAAAGAAAATCAACTTGAAATAATTCTGAAAACACTTCTCGGTAGGGCAAAAAACTTGTAATAAACACGTGCTCTTTTTTTTTATAATTTTAGGCTACTTATTTACTGAAATTTTAAAGAGTGATCAAGTCTCCCATATGATCAAGTCTCCCTCTTCTCCCCTAATTGTAATTGCTATTTTTTGGGAATAAGTCACAATTTAAGTTTATAGACGTTTTAATTTCCACTTCGAAAATCGTTCTCAAAATACAAACAGTAAATTAAACAAATTTTGTTTTTGTTACTTGGTGAAAAATTCTTCTAATAATTTAATTTTTGTAAATGGGTATATTTATTTAAAAAACCCTTAAAAGGGCCACATCAATAAAACAAACGTTTTCGGACCACACAGTCCATCATCAGGTTTTTAAAATCGAAAAATGCTAGGTCACAATGCCTGAGCCACCAAAATACTAGGGTAAAAACCCTTTAAATTACATTTAGTTATGAAAGATTGTACATTGTGTTGTAAAATAACTGTGATGTTCAGTATTAAATTAAATTTGACTAAAGGTAACACATGGCTCAATCGGGTTCCAGAGCCGGTGAGAGAGAACCTCTACACTCGGAGAACAGCTGGGAACTGATTGAATCAGTTCCCAGCTGTTCTCCGAGTGTAGAGGTTCTTTAACGACACTTCTTGCATTTTTGTATATATTTGCGATAGCATCCACATACTCTCTACTGAGACCTACTTTCGTCAATGTATAAAATAGTTTTTTCAAAGGTACCGTATCATATGCCTTCTCTAAATCTACAAACAATGGGTGGGTAGATAGATTCCTTGCCTTCCGTTTTTCGATTACCTGCTGCAGAACGAATATATTATCAATGCACGATCTTCCTGCCCGAAATCCATTTTGTTCCTCTATGTCTTCATATTCTGATGCAATTCGTTTTTTTATTATTCGACCGTACAACCTCCCAACTGAGCTAGTAACAGTTATTCCTCTATAATTAGAGCAATTGCGTTTATCCCCTTTTTTGTATATTGAGCTGATGTATCCAACATTCCAATCATCAGGGATATTTTGTCCTTTTAAGCATTTATTAAATAGTTTAACCATCATCTCGTGTAATATTTTTGGTCCATACTTTACCAACTCAATTGGGATGTCTCGAGGTCCTGCTGCTTTACCGTTTTTCGATCTTTTGAGGGCATCGCTTAACTCTCCGGTTGTTATCTCAATTATTTGTGTATGTTCAGATATTTCTTCCATTTCGATATCTTGGAATTTACGTCTATCCTCTGTCAATAAGACCTCATAATGCTGTTTCCACTGTTTCAGATCTATTAATTTTAAGTTAGATTTTTCCTTTCCTTCCCTCCGGAGAGACTTTATCACCTTCCACGCTTGCCCAACTCTTGTTCCACCCATATACCTATCCACCTCTGCACATCTTCGATCCCACATCTCATTTTTACTTTTCACTACTTCTCTTTTTACATCTCGATTTAATTTCGTAACCATTTAAATTTAAAAGACCAATATATATGAGATAATAAAATTATATAAACACTATAAGTAAATATACGAAACTGTCTAACATACTGAATGTGGGCACCTCTCAAGTCTAGCTTGAGAATTTAGAAATGAGGAAAAAACAAGAAACAGTTACTTTACAGAAACAGAATTACTTTAAAAAACGACTATTTACCTTGTATTGCGATATTATACTGGTTAGTAGAATCTGAAATAATGACAACTATATTTAGACAGCTTCTAATGACAAATTTGGTTAAAAAGTTTAAACAATTTACTAACATTTAAAGGAAAATCTGAAATAACAGTAGTGGTGGGGGTGTAAAGGTAGGAGAGCGACGAACTACAGCTAACAGCTAATAGTCACGAACAAATAAAAATACCGCCACTACTGTGCCAAGCATGGACGTATAAATAAAGATGGACCGGTCTGTTTACATCTATTCTTGAAGTCATGAGATATTCACAGT